GACAACGTTGACCCATAAAAAAAACACATCTTTTTTGAAGGCTATTTTTGCTTTATAAAGTCATTGATTACTTGCAAGTCATCTTCTGTCCAAGATATAGCTTCACATTTAAAATACCTGAGCAAAAATACATAATCATGCTCAAATTATTGACCTCCTTTGTAAATATGAATTTGTAAAAATAAATACAAATAAATTTGTATTTATTTGTATATGATTATTAAATGTTGATATAAAAACCATGACTATAGCTACTTATGTGTGAACTGGTTTTGGTGGTTAAATGACATTGACTAGGTATTAGGATGTTGGGGTGGTTTATGGGGACATGTCCTGTATCCTCGTACTTCAAAACTGTTAATAATACTCTTCACCTTCAAAATTTTTCAAACTTGGTTTCTTGTGATGCTTGGGTTTACAGTTAGGCATATCATATGCTGTTTTTATGTTATAAAATACATTAAGTATATGGACAGTCCTCATAAACCACCAAAATTAATGCATGAGTGTACAGAGCTGCACTATTTGTCCCAAAAGTGATAGATCTTTCTGGAGATTTTAAATGTCTCTACATTTAATGCATACAAGATGCATAACAGGTTGTCAACGTTTTTTTTGCGAAGTCATTGCGTTGGAAAGCTGAATCGGAAATTGTGAAGGTTGGAATAATTATCTTAATGTCAAAAAGTGACAGATTTACATCACCGTACACTCTGCTGATGTCCATTGTTTGTTTTATGTTGAACTGACAGGCTTTGAAGTGTCAGATCTGTTGGCCTTTGTCACCTTCCACACGTGGGAACTATTGTTGTAAAGACCGGACGAGATGACAACATACAGTATGACTACTAAATCTGGAGAATTTCCATGAGTTCAAGTTCTGCTCAACGTTGTTACAAGGTCCACAATCATTCTAAAAGGAAGCTAAAAGAATGGTTTGGATTCAATACCAGTTAAACAGTGCAATTCTTCAGTGTTTGTGGCACAATCTTAATCAATAAAAAAACAGTTCTAACATGTCCCTGCTATTTATGTTCATCAACAAAAACAGTTCTAACATGTCCCTGCTATTTATTTGAGAAGAAGAAAGTAAAACTAAGGTAAGGGCAGCATTTACAATGAAAGTGAACAGGTCACATCTTTGAAAAAATACTATACATTTTTATAATGATAACAATATGGTGTATTCCCTCTCTTTTATTAAGATTTTGACTATTTATTTTTACTAATAAAACATATTCTATCCCAATACCTAAACCCTACTACCTTAATAAACTATAAATAAGAAGAAAATTTGAAGTTTATTGAGGCAAAATGAATGTTTCTTTAATTACCATGCAGGTAAAAAAACAAAAAACAAAAAAAAAACAAGATCTCGATTACAAGGGTGACCTGGCCAAGAGTTATGCAGCACGACTTATGAAAAAATAAAATAAATAAATAAATATTGAAAAAAATACAGTTTGGTTATTCAGCCATACCACACTACAATATGTTAAAACACATACATATGAAGTCAGAATTATAAGCCCCCTTTTGATTTTTTTTCCTTTTTTAAATATTTGCCAAATGATGTTTAACAAAGCAAGGAATGCCCCTTTAAGCTATTTTTTTTCTCTATATTTTACAGAACAAACCATCGTTATACAATAACCTTCCTAATTACCCTAACCTGCCTGGTTAACCTAATTAACCTAGTTAAGCCTTTAAATGTCACTTAAAGCTGTATAGAAGCTTCTTGAAAAATATCAAGTAAAATTTTATGTACTGTCATCATAGCAAAGATGAAATGAATCAGTTATTAGAAAAACGTTTTTAAACCTATTATGTTTAGAAATGTGCTGAAACAATCTTCACCCCATTAAACAGAAATTAGGGGAAAAAATAAACAGGGACCCTAATAATTCAGGGGGGCTAATAATTCTGACTTCAACTGTATATCGAAAAATGGACTGTTGTTGTTTGTTATAAAGGATAGAGCGAAATGATTTAATCGGGATGAGCTCAGATGTTTTAAGTTCTGAATAAAGAGTATTCCAGGATGAGGGGGCAGCATGACTAAAAGCTATTTTAAAAAGTCATAGTAATTGTACCTTAAAGTGTGTCTAATTATATATAATGTTTTAATGATGTTGCGTAATACTTGTGTATTATTTCAGCCTCATATATTCTGTTTTATGGTTGTTTTAAGGATTTATGTATCACATTGTAATATTTTACAAAACTTAAAAGTTTGACATAACTTTACACTGGAAAGGCTACCAGTTTAAAAATAATAAAAAAAAGTAGGTGTTTTTACGTTTATGGTTAGTAAATGGGCCACAGAAGACACATTCACATCAATTTTACAAACAATTTTAAATAAATAGAGCATATTCAATGTAACAAATATGCACAAAAAAATCAAACACCTATTTGTACCGCTACATAAGTATTACTTTTTTCGCTAGTCTAGTGTCTAAGAAAATGCATTTATTAAACAAATTGTTTCCACATTTCAGTAAATATCTTCAATAAATCATGGTAAAAAAAATGTATGATTTGTTTTTTGCTCCCATTGAAAATATTACACAGTACCAGTGGTGTTAAGTAACAAATTACAAATACTCAAATGACTGTAAGTAATAGTTTTTCTTTTACTATTAGTAAGCACAGTTTTTCTTAGCAATTGTAGTTTTAAAAATGTGTGCTTTTACTATCCCTTGAGTACATTTTTAGTGCAGCATTGGAACTTTTACTTCACTACTTTTTTTCCTTTGTCTATGGGGATTAGAAAAATCAGTCCTGCGATTCCTGCCCAATCAAATCACACACTGAAGGTTAATCGCATCATAATGAACTACCTCAAGATTTATAATTGCAGGGAACTGTTTGAAAGCATTAAAAGAGTCCAAAAAAAATGTCCAAAATCATCACACGCAATGATCAGAGACTGTTTAAATGCAAGTCGCTGATGAGAAGGATGATGGATTTTAACCTTATAATAACCAAAACAGCCTTAAACACCCAGCAAGCACAAGATGTTAACACATCTTCTGTTTGACACATTTAAATACTGGAAAACCTATTTACAGCTGATTTGTACAATGATGTTCTGATCATTTTTAGTCTCTGACCAATAAGTGCAAATTTTATTTCAAAAAATGAAATGGATAATGAATTGTTTGTATTATGCCACAGTGTCGTCAATTGATATTAAGTTGTATGGAACCCAGAATACCCTTTTAAGCGCCTTTAATGCTTCTCCTAAAGTCTTGACAGGGCGTTCCATCTCATATGATCCATGTTTCTCATTTACTAGGATTTGTTGTAATTTGATGGTCTTTCTGCAGACGAATGTGTCTTCAAAACACCCCAATATTGCTGTGTGGAGATCGATAGGCCTGTTGGACCAGCGGCGCAGCTGCAACTGGAACTATTATTTCCCAATTGCTGTGAGTGAGAATCTGTTGTAAATCTCCTCAGATATGCTGACATCTCTGTCACCATTACGAGTCTGAAAAAGACTCTCCGAGGCCTGGTAGAGTTGATGAAGCTTGTATGATTTATGACCCCAACAGGACGCCATCGAGCCAACCGTACCTGAAGCCTTTTACATACACTCAGATCATGAAAACCTACCAAAATCAACACCGCAGGACAAATAAGTACCGGTGGGAATGAGATCTATATGATGAATGGAGATGTGTCTGATAAACGGATAGGAAAGGTGGATCTGGCCCACGTATGAGACACACTCATCACCAGCATGTCTATAGAGCTGCGAACTGTCTTGTCAGAGTTGATGAATATCCTCTATTTGTCTGTCTAAAGCTACACGCTGAGAGATTTAATCATTTAGCTGTGTTAAATCAATGGCAGACTCAGAGGAAACAGTTCTCTGTGACCTGGGACTAAATTTAGAGGAAAAGGCACGGTTGCTAACCTATGACCTAAAAAGAGACATTTAAATCTCTACAAATACACTGTCAACGGTACGCATTTTGAATCAGTGGAATGAAGGGAACATTAGCACCCATTAAGTGCAGGAATTAGTTTCAGGATACTCGAGGAAATGTGACTATCTTTTTTTTAACTCAGGGTGCATTTGCTATTTTATCTGACAATACACTTTCCTTCAGTATCTTTGACCACAAAACAAAAAAATGTTAAATATTATATGCTGGGAAAAACACAAAATAAATACTTTAAAACAACTAAAGATTTTTTTTTCAATTAAGCAATTATAAAATTATAAACATTTTTATTGAATAATCAATCTCAGTACAAAAAAAGAAATATTGATCCTTATGTTACCTAATAACACTTTATTCATATCTAATAATATAAATAAAAATAAAAGATTTTTATTAATATTAATATATTAGAGTTCTTAGTCCTTAGAAAACCCACTGAAAATTATATTTATTATTTTTATTTATAATAATTATAATAATAATAATGATAACAGTTAATGTTAAATGAACTTTTAAAATCAAGTTGTTACCCCTTACAGTACCCATTTAATTTGTATTTTATTTTCATCATTAGGAGATCAGCCTAATGCCTAATATTTTTCCCTATTCTATGTTTGATTGACCACAAGATTTCCCATTGAGATTAGAACATATTGTAATTTTCCTCCGTTATTTTTATGTTGATGTTAAAACTGAATTTTATGTGTGACTCTTATTTTAAAAACGGGACAAGCAGTAAAGTCCCATTAAATAAAGCCAAAGCCAGTCACGTTAGATTGTTAGATAGTTTTCTATGCACTGCTAAGCAACGACTCAAACCATTAGTTTATAGTTTACAGCTTAAGTACAAAATGTACAAAATGCAGGATATACAGATTCTAAACTTAGCTCTACTTTAAAGAGGCATAAGGTATGTTTAATTATATAGTTTATTTATCATGTTCATTGTGAAATTTGTCACATATGTTTGTAATGAGGCAACAAACGCATGTATTGCTGTGTGTGAGTTTAATGCATATTTAAGCAGAGTCATATATCGCTCATGAAGTATTGACATTTTTCTAAAGTGAAATAATAGCAATACACTTTATTAAACATCATTCAGAGGTTGATATAAATTCCTGGCAGTGTTTACATTTACATTAAAGCTTCAAAATACAACACAAATCTGTCTGTCTCTTTTGTCAAGTTATATTAAATACAGTCTTATTTTATATGTAACTTATCTTAAGTTTATTTAGAATTTTGTCTAACATTATATTTTATCTGCAACACAACATGTGTATAAAATAAGTTACTCTTGTGACTTAAATTAGACAGCTCGCTCACGCAGTGTAGGTAAAATAAAGCTTCACTGCTTAAGTTAAAGGGTTTAACAAGGCATCTACTCTTAATATTTAAATTTTTTTCATAAAAAAATCTATTTTTTTTAAATGAAGTATGAATATTTTTCATGTTTATTGCAGAGCACACCATTTTATGCATAAGTGTATGAGAGTGAGAAAGCACATCAGAGCAGAGCTTATCAATATTTCTGCAATGATTCCAAATATAGTCAATAAGCACCACTGTCAATATGAACCTTCTGAATCAGCGAGTATTTTATGGGATAATAAATAAGCACATAAAAACGGTTTCTGAAGACTTATTTTGACTTACCTTAGCCACATAACTCCTATGTCAGAGAACAATTGAATTTAATGAACCAATGCAGTACATGGCACTTATATGTATATGAGTATATATTTTATTTATGCATGCCCACAACAAATGAACAAAATTATTTCAAATAGTGGTGCAACGGATCACAAATCTCACGGTTTGGATAACATTACAGTTTCTGAGACACAAATCAGCCAAAAAGTGGAGGAGACAAATTTGATAATAGTAATAGTAATGCTTAAAACTTTTATTTTTAACAAACATAACTTAAAACCTGTCATTTTAATAAAAATAAAATTAAGAAATAACCAGCTGATTAAAAATAAATTGCAAAATATTCAATACTATAGAAAAGGATGTCTGCTAGTGTTGTGAAAATGAACTCATTTTCAATTAACATTTCAGTAACTCACTCAAAGAAATGAATGGTTTATTACTAGATGTATAGTTTTTAACAATTATTTAGTGACACATTTTTGATGGCTGGTCATAAATTTATGCTGCGTGTGTGTTTGAATTGAGATCCTGATCTTTTAATGTTTTATTTTGAAGCTATACACTGAATGCATTGATGCAGGCTAAACAAGAAGTGACAGAAAACACCTTTAATAGCCTAATGAAACATTTAGGCTAGGTACCACCACAACTTCTTCTGTCATCATTGTATTTTGCAGGAAAGCCACATAAGTCAAGCGATATATATTTGAATGATGCAGAAGCTGGATTAATCTACAGGTAAAAATATTTTTAAAAAACAAGTTATTAATCAGAGGGTCACATACTCTCCAAACCATAAGTCATCCTCCACATAGATTATGGATCAACTGTGATCCGTTACACCCCTAATATCAATCCAAATCGCGCTAATAATCATAATAATCAAAAAGCAAGCTTGTGTTCTACAGAAGTAAGTGATCCTCTAGAGAGGAAGCGCCACATGCTCTCTCAGCCTCTCACCGCTGTCGTCACTGTCCAGAAGTTCACTGTTGGCTCTCTCTGGACTGTGGAGATCCAGCTGTGCACTCGGGTTGACAGATGCTCGTACTCTCTTACTGGGACATATTTTCTTCAGCTGGTTCTGATACCTCGGCGTGTCCTTTCGGATCTGCTCCACATTAGTGTCATCCAGACTGTTGTTCTCTTCCATGGGATGTTCAGCAGATGTTTCTGTGCATCCTGGGATTCCACCAGCCGCTTCCCTGCTGTCGTCCAGAGTGGCCTGGAAGTTTGGTTTTGCTACGATCCCTGTGTAATATTTAATTAGAGAGTCAGTGTTTGCTGGATTATTTCTCTATGAAATGGTTTCTAAAGTCTCGGTGAAATAAAAAGTGCAAAGTTTATTTTGCTAGTGCACGCTGATATTCTGACCAATAAATCTGTGCAAGTTCATTCACTAAAAAAATGATTCCAGTCAAAGTTTTAACATTTGCTTCCATGTATCTAGTGGCTGTCCTTCTCTTTTGACATCTGTTTAAGGGCTTCATCCACAATTTTCTAGGCCACACCCCTCTTACCGTTAGTTTGCTATGAGGGAAAGATCTTGCAAAATAAAGCCCCACCCCTTACTCAATATTTCATTTCAATTGGAAGTAGTTTTCTCAGCAACTTCATCTGAATGCAGACTTTAAATTAGACTGACCTGAGATTTGTTCCTGAGATATTCCTTGTTCTTCACTGTCTGGTCTGTCCACAAATTCTGGACTGTCGAAATGATGTTTTTTAACCATCTTCTGGTATCTTTCATTTTCTTCGGGTCTGTCCTTTTCTTGACTACTAACATCCTTCATCACTGCATACAGTTAGAAGATGATCCATAATAGGACTTTTTAAAATGAAAATGGTCAACATTTACCCACTCTTTACTTATTACAAACCTGTTTTCTTGTTCTGTAGAACAAAACAGATTTTTTGAGGAAAGCTGGAAACCTATAAACACTGACTTTTGTAGTAGAAGTAGTAGTAGTAATAACAATAATATCTATAATATTCTCCCTACATTTATATAGCACTTTTCTGGACACTCAAAGCGCTTTACACATTTTGGGGGGAATCTTCTCATCCCCTATCAGTGTGCAGCATCAAGCTAAATGACGAGACGGCAGCCATACTACACCAAACCGTACACCACACACTTGCTGATTAGTGGAGAGTAGACAGTGATAAAGCCGTTTATGAGATATGGATGGAGACCAGTGGGCAGATTTGGCCAGGATGCCGGGGTTAAATTCCTACCCTTTTTTGAAGAACATCCTGGGATTTTTAATGACCACAGAGAGTCAGAACCCTGGTTTAACGTCTTATCTGAAAGAAGGTTCTCACTGAGCAGTATAGAGTCCCCCTCAATATACTAGGGCGTTAGGACCCACACAGACAGCAGGTTGAGCGCCCCTTCACTAACACCACTTCCGGCAGCAACTGAGCTTTCCCATGTGGTCTCCCATCCAGGTACTGACCAGCCGCAGCCCTGCTTAGATTGAGTGGGCGACCGTGTGAGAGTTGCAGAAAGCTAGCTGTAGTATTTGTTTTCCTACTGTAGATGTCAATGGTTACAGGTTTTAAGCACTCTTTCAAGAGAAGAAAGACATATAAAGATTTGAAACCACTTGAGAGTGAATACATTTTTATTTTTGGGTGAACTATCCCTTTATTAATAAGTCAGTATTTATTAGATAAAAACTGTAAAATACAGTAACATTCCAAAATATTGTTTTTAATTAAGTTCTTAATTAAGTTCTTAAGTAATTAAAGTTTTCTATTTTCAAAATTTTAAAATGTCATTTATTTTGTGAAGCTGAGCTGAATTTAAACTAAATTTATGTACATTATAATTAATACATAATTATAATAAAATGATCACTATAACAAAACTGTTAAAAATCTCTAACAATAGCTTTAGGAAAATCAAGAAGTGCAGTTCTATGCTGAGCACTTGTTATTTGCAAAAATAATTTACATGAAACCTTATTTATAAACTTTATAAAAATGTATAACTTTATACTAAAATGTGATATATGCAAATAAAATGTCATTTTATATATATGCAGATGGCATGGAGAGAATTTGAACAATGTCCTGGCTGGCCAACATCACCAGAAAACTGTAAGCTTCTGTGAATTTTGTGGCATTTACTTGATTTTGCATTAAATTCAGCAATTGTAGAAGCCCCAAATTTTTAGAGTGTCTGCTGAAAGCAGCAACTGCCTGTTTTTCTGTACAATATAGGTCATGGAAATTCAACTTTTGATGGAAAAATCAGGGAATTTGACATTTGGCTTAGGGTACTTAAATATATCAGCCGTAGGTTATTTACTCATCTTGCAAGGCTTATTCTGCACAGTTGGACTCTTTTGAAAATGCTGATATGGGGGAAATGTGAAGTTGTGGCTTGCTGGTTTTTGGGGGCTACTTTCACCAAGTGCTGTGGCCACCAAAATGTTTCTTTCAAATGAAAACTGAATGGTTTATTAATGGGTATCATTGATCCCGGAATGCAAACCTGGCAACTCAAATACTGCTGCAAGTGAGGGAGTAAAAGCATCTGATGGCACGTCACATAATGAATGAGCAGATCATCAGTTACACTCACATCTGAGAAAAATACTTAGTACACTGTAAAAAAAAAATCCTGGTTGCCTTAAAATAAAGCTGAATCAAATTAACCTTGAGAGTCCAATGAACTTATGCTATGTTAAACTGACTTAAAACTGCTGACATAACTTATAAAAATAGGTGAGAACATGATTAACTTAGTTTAACACGTTATAATAAACTAAACACATGTGTTGTCATAAATAATTGTTCATATAACGTTTTACAGTGTGGTGTTTTTGGTGTGCGGAAATTCAGTAGTTTAACGTATACTATCCAACAACAGATTTAAAGTGAACAAAAAGGACAGGGGCTTCTTTTAAGTCCTTTTGGGTGACTTTTGACATGACTTTAGTTTTTTAGTTTTTATTTTATGAAATATCCCTCATATTAGAGTTTTTAAAAAAGCGTCTGGAATTCAAACCACTTATGGAAAATTTCTGATTGTGCTGCATACCTGATTCTTTATTACTTTGTTGATTTGAGCCCTGGGTCCAGTCTCTCTCAATGTCAGTACTGTCCATACTCATACTCTCTATATACAAGACAATAAAGATTATATCAGATCAGCAGACATGTTTACAAACAGTAGCAGAATGAGGAACAGATGGATCAGTCGCTTACCTGCTGAGTTCCCATAATGCTCCTGTAATGCTTTGTGAGCATCTGTTGACAAGAATGTGTCAGTGATGCAAGTGTACAAGATAAAAGTTTAGGAGCGATATGTTTTTGAATGGCATCAAACTGCTTATTCAAACAACTGTTTACCTGCGAGTGCTGTTCTCAGCTCTAATCTTTTGTACTTGTCACTCTCTGAAAGTACATTAAATTTATTATATACATTTATGGAATAGACTATGATAAGATGGCTGTTTAAAAGGGTTTCTGTCAGCTTTTAAACAACAAAAACAACAGATCTGTTATATCATCCTATCAGAATGTAAAAAAGGGGGAAAAGTTTGATTTATGAAGCCTAAATGATTTTGAATTGCTTAAGCTACTTTTAATAAATCAGTATACCTCTGCTGTCTTCAGTTGATGCTCTTTCAGGTAATCTGCTGTCTGTTTTAACATGAAATTAAGAAATTCTAAATATGTACATGGTGGATTAATGTAATATATATTACTGCATAAAAACACGTTGAACAAATATGTATATAAACCCGAGCTGCTGGTCTCAATAGATCTCTCTTCAGAAACATCTTAGGAAAAAAGGTTGTGAGAAAATAGGTCAAAGTCTACCTTTTTTAATAACAAATTAAACAGCATGAATCGTTAGATAAGTTCAAATAAAATAGAAACATTTACCTGCAACTTCAACAGAATTTGGTTTTGGGGTTGTTTTGGAAAGGTCTAAAATGAATTAAACAATTATACACAGCCTACATATATATTTGTAGTATATTATGCATGCATAAAAGAGCAACAAAATAATAAAACATACCAGCTATTTCTGGAACTTTACATTCTGTAAATAGAGGACAAGAGTCATGTTTTTTAGTAACTGTTATCAGTTACTTGGGCTATTAATTTATGTAGAATTAACACTCAGTAATCACTTACCTGCACTTGGATCTGTTGGATGTACAGCCTCCAGAATCATTTCAGGTACTAGGCTAATTTCTAAGTAAAACAAAAGAAAACTCACCTGAGGTCAAAAACCATCAAACTGTTGCACAACTCACTTTCTTTCTGATTCTCACGTTCACCTTTATTTTTCACATAATAAGGTGGGCAGCCATTTTAAATTTAATGTGCATTTGGCCTACTTCCAGCGTCATTTCATTTCAGCCCATTTCACATTTACAAATTAACTTGTTTTTGTTGTGTGTTTGCGTGTGTGTGTGAGTGTGTGTGTGTGTGTGTGTGTGTGTGTGTGTGTGTATTTTCCCCAATTTCTGTTTAATGGAGAGAATTTTTTTTCAACATTTTTAAAGTTTTAATAGTTTATTTTTAATAAACTAAGTTTATTAAAACTTTAGTTTTACTAACTCATTTCTAATAACTGATTTATTGTATCTTTGCCATGATTACAGTAAATAATATTTTACTTGATATTTTTCAAGACACTTCTATACAGCTTAAAGTGACATATAAAGGCTTAACTAGGTTAATTAGGTTAACTAGGCAGGTTAGGGTAATTAGTCGATGTCGACGAAAAATTTGCGTAAAGGGGCTAATAATTTTGACCTTAAAATGTTATTTTTTTATTATTATTAAAACTGCTTTTATTCTAGCAATAGTTAAACAAATAATAGAATAAAATATTAACAGACATACTGTGAACATTTCCTTGCTCTGTTAAACATAATTTGAGAAATATTTAAAAAAGAAAAAAGAAAATCAAAGGAGGCTAATAATTCTGACTTCAACTGTTTTATACATATAGTGTGGCATTTCTTGCAAATTGATTTTAATAGTAGCCTATTTACGTATTTATACTCAGGTTAGAGTTACTTAGTTAGGCTGTCTAATATCCTGCACTTACTCTTAACAAATGAATCGAAAATCTCGCAACTTAAAAAGGACCTTTTTGAAGATCCATTAGAGGTAAATAGTGATTTATTCTTCAATCTAGCATGTCAAGATTGCATTCAGCAGAAAACAAACTAAACTCATACAGTATTATCGAAGTGAGTGATTTGTGGTGTTGGGTCAACTTCTGATAATCTTCATCGGTACAGCGTTATATAATTCATCCCTGACTGAATCAAATTTAACAGACCTGAGAGCTGTGTGGGTTCAGTTTGGTCCAGAGTCTGATTCATTTCAAAGGCATCTGAGGAGAGAATGTACAAAAGGGGAAGGAAAAACTTAGTTAGTAGTACTAGTGAGCAGTGTTGGGGGATGTTTCTTTAAAAGTTTTTTATTACAATCTTGAGGCACTTACAAAATAACTAAATGTGTTATTACTTCATTTTAAAAGTGTTATCTTATTTTTGAATATTAACTATAAACTATTAGTTTTTTTTTATTCCCCCATCTCAACTGGGTTTATAATTGTAATAGTATATTAGCCTACTTTTAAAAGAAACTTTCCCCAACATGAAAAATAGCATTTAAGCAAATTAGCAAAATTTTAACAGGAAAACAAAACATTCTCACCCTTAAGAAAATGTATCAAATCTTCACCCCCATCTAGTAAAAACAGACAAATAAAATAAACCATCTTATATTAATTTTCAGTTACTGCTCTTCAGAAAATATTTAGTTGTTAAAAAATCGATTATGGTATTGTCTAAAACTTTACAAAATGACGTGAGGTTTACCTCTCATAGCTGCTGAAAACACAGCATTTATAAAGACTAGAAGAGTCAGGGAGCTGCTGATCCTAAGCCAGAATGGAGAACGAAAGGGAAAAATATAACATTTTCCAAAGGTCAACATAAGTGAAACATAAACACACATTTTATATTGTTGAGCAGTGCCTCTCATCGTTCAATATCATTAATTTTACACCAGCCATCATAAAACAATCCTACATATTTGAACACTAGTAACACAGATACTGAATTTCATGGTGGAAAATGCTGACTAAACATCTTGACAAAACTCAGGCAAAATAGAAGAGAGTAGTTTGGTAACTTACAGCTTCATTCTGAGGGCTGATGTCCTTCTGAGGGGTTCATGTGTCATTTGTGGCTTTAAATGCTTGATCTGGACAATAGGGTCACAGGTGAGCAGTTAAGGGACACTGGAGATGAGGCCTTAGAAACCAGCAAATACTCTCGGCCTGAATGGCAGGTGTGTTTTCTAATAATAAAGGGGATGCATGGCTGAATTTCCCCCATGGCATTTCCTTCCTTCACAGAGAAGGATTTTGTTTGTACCACTGTGACAAGTACCACATTTGTTTGTACCACTGTTTGTACCACTGTGGATGAGAGTGCCTCTCATCCATTAGATTAAAGGCTTTTCTTGTCTATTCAGTGTTTAAAATCCACAGAAAGGAGTTGAAGAAGTTTAAATTAACACAGGTTGGGGGGGGGGGGGGGGGGGGGGGTTAGATGATAAAGAATCAAGAATGATGAATATGGTGACCAATTCAAGTAAAACAACTGATGTAATTAAGTTAAGAATATTCAAATACTTACTGTCGGGCACAAATCCATGTTTTCAATCACAATTTTAAGGTATACTGTAAATATTTTCTTAACATAATTATTGTTACAAGCAGCTAAATTAAAATGTTAATGTAAACCTTGAGGGACAGTTCTACCAGTGAGATGATTTTGGCATTGTTTACTCACTCAAAACTGTTTTGAGTTTCTTTCTTTTTAACACAAAAGAAGTTCAGTTAACCATCCCAGAATGTTTTCAAATAAGTCAGTCGTTACAGGTATTATTTGGTATTCAACAGAGGAAAAAAAAAAACTCCATGATAGAAGGGGAATATTTTCATATAGCATACTTTTATTTTGGGGGGTGAGCTAGGCCTTTAACTAGGAATTATGTTGAAACATTGAACCAAATAATTAATAATTTGTGGTGGTTTGTGGAAGCACATGCAAAACAATAAAAATTTGATTTAGTTTGTGTGTGTGAGAGGGAGACTTAAACAAACTTACCTGTATTCAACCTACACAGCAAAACATGAAAATATACCATTATAACAAATGTAAAACTCGTAATCCGTTTAAAAGCATTATTTAAACATTTTTTTGAAATGGAAAATCTTATATGACCACTAGATGGCAGAAAAGGACCGCCTAACCTATTTGAGCTCTGAAACCTGCTACGCCACAGACGTGCAGAATTCTCTATTCTTAAAATGAACACTTGTAAGAGGAAAACATCTGAAAACATCATTTGTCCGTCTCATTGTATTGTTTTTAGTCATCTCGGTTTATTTAGGAAAAACGTATTACCTGTATAAAACTGAAATTAGCTTACATAGTAAACATTGTATTAGCTTTCCATAACCCTGTCGAATTTAACATTGTGCAATCATTTTGTAATTTTAAGATTTAAAAAATAGCTGTCACACAATGTATACGTTTAGATGAAACATAAAACATAGCTTTCTACGAGAGCTAAACATTTCTTTTTCTTTAATTACATAAAAATGTCAAAAATGTTAATTACTACATGAGACGTTTATTGCTGGAGGCTGCATGAAAAGTAGAGCTAAATTAACCGAAAGACATGAATCGGTTTACCTTAATATATTTTTCTCGTGGAAGCGACTAATAAACAAAGTCTATCTATTGCAAATTTGGAAAAAGAGACTTGACACCGAAAAAAGGCAGAGAGAAAAAAAATGAATTCAGCCTCCACTACAGAAGTAGTGATTATTTCAATAATAGACAAGACCAAAAAGAAAAATAAATAAATTTAAAAACTCGTTTAAGAAACAAGTATTAAATTAATAAAAGATTTGAGCTTCTAGTCAGGATGGTTTGGGAGTAACACAAAGTCTGTAATATTCTTGTTTGCTCCTAAATCAGCAAACCAAAATGAACAAACATAAAATAAAATAAATAATAACAGTAAAACATGCAATGCTAAATTAATATTTCACCTGTTTAATTGATTTTATCGTGGGATAGAAAGAGATGTATGTGTTTTCACTGAACAGTCACCTCTCAAATGAAAATTACAAAAATTCTTCATAGTATTAAACAAATGTCTGAACTTAAAAAAAAAAAACAAAAAAAAAACAAAAAAAAAAACAAGAGACACCCATTCATACATACACTCACACACACACACAAAACTGAAAGTAGCACAAAAATTGGCATATTATTGATCGTGTTACTCAGCAATTGATACTTAAGTCCTTCCAACAGAAACTAGTGACTTTTGCAAGATCCGGGACGAAATCCAATTACCCTGCAACACACAGAACTAGCAGAGCTGAAATAAAAGAGCTTCCATTATCAATAAGGGTGTTTCGTTACACAATGATCAGAAACACAAATCAGAAAAGTTACATTAGTTTTGATTGAATCTGGCCTTCAGTCCAAACGCTATAACGGAAGAAATCCACAATCAAATCGGCCGTTTCCTGTCCTCAAAACCAAACTCTCAAAGTAACGACTCTTTATCCACTCGGAGAACCTCAATATGACACCAGGTTTTGTGAACACCGTGATCAAGGCTGTAAAAACTGACTAAAAGAAGTACAACAAAACAATAAAAAAGGAAAAACACTCCCAGCCTCCCAAAAAACCACAACTAAAAAATAACAATATTAAATCAGTCAAAAGTAATGGTTTGAGCACAAGAACGCTAGAGGGACATATAAAATTAATTTTATTATCCTTCTTTTCAGGTGGACATTTACGTGTTTCTAAACAGTCACGGCGAGTGAAAGTTCACACCCATTTGCTTTTCTAACTCACACAGACAGGTGCAAAAAACATCATGGGTTTCTTTTTGAGTTCATAAACCCCTAAACAACAACTGAGAAGAAAAACAAAATAAAATGGTAACTTAACATTAGTTCGGTGTTATTTGCAACATAATAAAAAGAACCACAAATGAAATTAATGCCTTCCTCCCACCCACTACCCCCCCACCGATTCACAATTCAAAACAGGCCCACAGGAGAGAGAAACAGAGAGAGAGAGAGACAGAGAGAGAGGGATGTGAAAGAGAGAGAGGGTGGAGGTGGGGCAGTGGGTGTTCAGGGCTGGGCTCCAGCGGCAGTGGGCACTTGTGTGGCCATTGTGTTCGGGGCAGGGATGACGGGTGAACCAGCGCTGATGTTGGCGATGTTGGGCTGTGTGCTCGGAGTCATAGAGGCGATGCCTGCAGAATGAAAGCAAACAAGTTTAGCTTAGACTGTCAATTATATGTACTGTTCAAGCCTGGATTTCATCATTACCACATTTCAGCTAAATACTTTAATAACCACTTCAAAAAAATCAAGTCATAATAATCAATTTAATAAAACAAACTGTGATAGTTCAAAGTAACAATGCAACTAAGCAGTTAACAGTAAGCATTGGAACTGGGATTTTTTTTAACAACATATTTCAGTTTAATTTAGACTTGATTATTAGAATAGCTGACTGGAAAATTTAAGCCATGTGTTTTTTTTTACTTTATCAGAATGGCATCATCAGTCAAAATTGTATCAAAGTCAAAACACCACAATACTGAAATTAAAAGCAAAACCAAAATAATCAAATTGTCATCAAGATCTTACTGAAGCTCTCCCTCTCTTAATAGCAACATAAGATTTAGAGCCATTTTTAAGATATGTTTTCCTTTGTAACGGTTTAAAATATTTATTTCATACCAAATGAGAGATTTTAAGAACAATAAAACTTCTGTAACTTACATTTTTAGCTATTTTCTAACGTAGCATTTATTTTCAAGTGTTCACTTTAAGAGGTTGAGAAAGCACCTAGTTTACTGTTAATTTTGTAAACTGGCAGAAATGCTCTGTGCAAACATGCATGGGTTGTGGTGTTCTTGTAAGCAGGGCTGCACAACATATCGTTTCAGCATTGATATCAAAATTTGATCATTCACAATAGTCACATCGCTAAGTCACACAAGATATTTGCAATGTTGAGTAGGGCTGCTTGATTATGGGAAAAATCATAATATTCGCCCTCCTGTGAATTTTTTTATATGAATATTTCCCAATTGATGTTTAACAGAGCAAGGAATTTTTCATATTTTATGACATTTTTTCTTCTGGAGAAAGGCTTATTTGTTTCATTTTGGCCAGAATAAAAGCAGGTTAAAATATTTTGAAACCTATTTTAAGGTCAATATTCAAGCCCTCTTAAGCTATGTTTGATTGTCAGCAGAAGAAACTACTGTTATACAATGGATTGAGATATTACCCTAATTATGTCACTTTAAGCTGAATAATAGTATCTTGAAAAATATCTAGTCAAATATTATGTACTGTCATCATAGCAAAGATAAAGAAATCAGTTATTAAATTTATTATTTTTAGAAATGTTTTTTAAAAAACCCTTTCCATTAAACAGAAATTGGGGAAAAATGGGGGGCTAATAACTCAGGAGGGCTAATAATTCTGACTTCAACTGTATATGCAGTTATTTTCCTACTTGTAAATAAGGAAAGAGAAATAAATACAATAGAATAAAAATATTAAACAAAGTGTACTTTAAGTATAGTCACTAAGGAAAAACTTACATACTTATATAATCATAGCTACAATAGTCCTTCAGTCAAGAGCAGTGAGTGATTTACTCCTTTTGTTGTTTGATTAATGATAAAAACAGACAGCAGCAGGAATATTGCATGTTGTCACTTTAAGAGCAGTATGGTTTTGATTAATGGTTTCACTTTATTACACAAATGATTAAATATAAATAATCACTGCGTTGACACAAATTAGCATTTATTTGACCATTAAAGCGCTCACATTAAGATGACTTGAGATGTGTGCGCTCTGCAACAATTATAACAATCTTTAAACATTAAAACATTTAAGATTGTTTTAGGCTTGGGCGGTATCCAAATTTTGATACCGTCAAACCGCCTCCATATTTTACCCCGGTATCCGGTATTACCAGCATAATAAAAAAAATCATGACGTAAGGCTCAGACAGCATCACCAAACTGTTGGCTTGAGCCTGAACGATTCAGAAACTGAATACCTTCTATGCGACCTTAAGCTCGCGGTCAGAAAGAGAGAGAGAGAGAAAGAAAGAGAGATAAAGAGAGAGAGAGAGAGAGCGCCTCGCGACACACAGCACCTCTCTCTCTCTCTCTCTCTCTCTCTCACACACACACACACACACACACACATCTATCCCGCGATTTATTCAGAAATTTACTCCCACACTGTAAGATATCTGCTCGGCTCCCGCGGAACAGCAGGAATGCAGAGCTGTAATCGGGCCATAAACATTATACCCGATAGGTCCCAAGTCCGACAGGTACATTTTGATTGACAGCTTTATAAAGCCCGAACCCGTTTACAGCCCGAGATTATTCAAATGTGCTCATGCACACAGCTCTAATGCATTTTTTCAAGAATGAGTCATTTATATGTTTTAACATCATTTATTCGTAACAAACGTAGACTAGGCTATATGCCACTTGAAAGTTGGAACAAAGAAATAAAATAAGTCCTCTGTAACATCGTAAGATATTAGCACTCTATAGGTCTAGGTACATGCACTTAGCCTTTAAATTGGACAACACACCAATGAAAATAAATCTTGCTTAACAAATCAAATTAAAATAAACTCTAAATGATGACGGGTATTTTGGCAATAACGAAATTAAGATAAAGGCTCTGCAAGATTTGTTTCTCCACTTCTATTCACAATCTGGCATTAGGGCGGTGGTGAAGCTGAATAGTAAAAGAATAATGCCACCATTAGTCTGTATACTTTGTCTACGTTATGATTACATGGTTTAATTAATATTTATTTATAATTTAAAACCCTTTACTTACCAAGATTAGGCTACGTGTGTTTGTTTGTGTAGGAACATTATTAAATCCACTGGCTTTAGCGCAGTCTCCCACTCATGGTGTGTCCAGCAGAACTGAACACCCTTTCTTGCGGCTAGAGGCCGAGATGCAGAGTTCTGATCTGGCTGATTTTGCAAGTTTTGGGTAGGATTGTTTGTTCATCTTCTACTAGTCAGGAACATCCATTTAATTTTCCATGACAGCAGTTTCAGTGTAGCGAGAGGCCTCGTCTTTTTACCTGTCAGCTTGCGGTTTAGGGCTCTACCGTAATACGCAGTGTATGAGCGACCGCGAAATACCTGCGGCTGGAATAACTGCTGTAACTGAGCTAGTGACTGGCTTGACCGCCGTAATAATTTGCTTTTTTTACTACTTGATCATCATTTGTTTCACCTTTGCAGGGATGGATTTTAATGCAGGGATTAGCATTTTTTCGGGTCTCGCCGGGTTCGGGCAAAGATCTTCAGCTCTAATGCAGACCTCTCGTTCATATTAACCACATCTCCCTTCTGTTCAGTCAAAACTGCAGGACACTTTGAAGCGCGACTCGTCATGTCACGTCACCTCTCCCTCTCTCCCCCTCCCTCTCTCCCCCTGCCTCTCCCTCTTGTTCTCTCTCTCTCCTCCACACTGTCCCGTGATGACAACCACACATACGTTTTTGTAGGCATTAAATAAAGGATATTTAATATTTTATGACGGTATAACGGTTTTGAAACTGACACCGTTGCTATTTTTAGATCCCGCGGTATACCATAATACAGTAATACCGCCCAAGCCTAGATTGTTTATTAGATTTTATGGAGATGCATTTCCACAGCAGAATCATTCCAATCTATCTAACATTAGAAATTCTTTCCAAATAAAGATATTAAGTCATCTGGTGAAATTGTATTTATAATCGCAACATATAAAAATTGCAAAATAAAAGTATCGCAATGTAATATTTTTTTCTAAAATCACCCAGCCCAACTTGTAAGCGTGCAATGAGATTATAGCAGAAGTAAACAAACCTGTTGCACAGAGCATTCACTTCGACTCGGCAAATTAGAGTAATGGATGTTTAAACTACACTTCTGGGCCTTCAAAGTGGCAGTTGTGCTTGTGTTTGGAACAACATGATATTTGTCATTTGTAGGTGTATTATCCTTTTAATGGGTTATAAATGCATTATAACTTATTCAAAGATATGAAAACCCCTCCAAAATCTAAATTTATCACTATAAATTTAAGATTGTTTCTTTATTTAATATATTTTCCAGAAAAAAAGCAAGCAACATTTTAAACTAATTTTAAATTAAACGTTGCACCCAAAAAGTTTATTCCAAATCGCTGTCTTCTGTAGAAAACTATTTATTTTAAAGTTTGTCAATACAAAGTCAGTGATGGGAACATACTCATGACTCAAAATACATTTCCCTCACCAATGCAGGTTTGAAATAAAAAACCATGTAAATAATGTAAAACATTGTTCATTTTTGCATGAGTTATTTCAAACAGAGATGAAGTGCTGTGGAGAAAATAAATCATTTACCTGCCATCAAGCTAGAAGAGCTGACGGGTGTGGAACTAGCAGCCATTCCAGCAGCCGGTGCTCCTCTACCCTGGTCTTTAACTATGGGGTCTTTAACAAACAAACAATTTTACATCAATATTAAAATTATTATAATAATTAAAAATACAGAACATCAACATTAAAAAAAAACATTTACATTTTCTAGTCATCTAAAATTATAAAACTGCTTTTAAAAATGTTACAAACAATAACTTGTCAATAATAATAATAATAATAATAAATAGTTTATATATGAAAACAAATTCTAATCTTAAATTAAATAACCCTGAGGTAGAAACACCCATCAATTAGCAGCGAGGAATAACATGCCAGCATTTACTCCTTATAAACTAAGGATTTCATCATCCAGCCAAGATTCGCTTCTCAGCATAGAGGACGCAACCTGATGTCTGTAATGAATTCTATATTTAATTCATATAAGATAATAAAGGACAGTCAAAATGCATCAAATATGAGCTTTAAAAGCACAGGCAGTCAATTTAGGAGAACTCACAGAAGTAAGAGTGGTCCATGGCCTCACGGGCTGTCAGACGAGCCTGGTGGTCGTAACGTAGCAGCTTATCTAGAAAATCCAGAGCCTCTGTACTGACCAGGTGCTGATTTTCACTGTGCACAAACCTTTCCCACCTCTTCCGAGAGTGCCTGGGTGAAAAAAATCATGGGAGATGTTAAAAATGATCTAAACATGACCACACATACAATCTTAAAAAAAATAACAATAATAAATAATAATAATAATTAATTAATTAATTAATTAGTTTAGATAACAATCCTGATCCACCGCATATGGAATTCATACCTGCCCAAAATGTCATTAAAGCGTGGGTCCAACTCAATGTTATATTTGTCAATGTAATCATACAGGTCCTCTGTACCCAGCACCTTTGCAATCCGAACCAGCTAGAAAGAAAAATAAGATCTCCTCAATAAACTGAAAACAGCAGTAACTAACCAGTAAACAAAGTAATCTGGAGAAAATTATAAATTTTCCATACATAAAGTTACTAAATTCATCCGCTAAAGAACATTTGCTTTGGGTAAGTTTGCACAAGCTGAATTCAAAATAAAACAAAATTCAAACCTGGTCATAGTTGTCGTGTCCATGAAAAAATGGTTCCTTCCTGAAGATCATACTGGCCAGCATGCATCCAAGACTCCACATATCCAGACTGTAGTCATACATCTAGAACAAGAAAATGTATTTGACCAGTAACACAATTATCAATAGGAAAATGTGAAAAAGAATAAAGACAAATCAACCATTATCCTGGGTATCATTTATAATGGTGCATTTGCTTTAAAACAAGATTTAAAAACAATTCTCGTCCAGATGGCCATTTCCATTGTAAGGGTTCCTAATTCAATCCAAATATAAAGATTCCAAACTAAACAGCTGATTTTCCAAGGTGATATGTCTGTGTGTGTGTGTGTGTGTGTGTGTGTGTGTGTGTATATATATATATATATATATATATATATATTTATTTATTTATTATTTGTCAGTGTTGTCAGTGAGATTCAAGATTTTTAAAGTAAAATTTTCAAAACAAAGCCATAACCAAATTTTATTACAAATTTAATTCAAACACTTCCAAGAACCCATGTTTGTTTTTTGTACTTTCATGCCTTGAATACATGTCAGACATTTACGTACTTTCAATAATTGTAAAAATCCTGTGTGTGATAATCCAGAAACGCCCTGTGGGGCCCTACATTACGTTTTAAAAAATGATCTCAGTCCACCCTGAAGAGCCTAAAATATATGATATGCAATCATGCTCAATGGCACGCACATATATTGTCTGTTTTTTCAACAGTTTCAGACAAATCAGGGATTTTCGAAAACGCCACAGTAGTGTGGATGCCAGATGTAATCATAACAAATCTCATGAGTTTTAAAAACAAAAGCAGATTACTGTAAACAACACTTTAAAGAAGCATCATCAAGGGCCAATTATTAGATTACAGAATCTTTCTTTAATGAACATAAAATCAGTCTAAACAAGTGGCAACATGTTCAAGCATTTACTGAAAGTATGACAATTTGCTGCCTGCAACACCATTGTGCTTATGGTGTCCAAGAATCAAAAAAAAGCCAAGATCTGAAATCTTTTTAAAACAGAGACATGTTTTTTTAGGGAAAGGGGGGACTAACCTGATAATCCACAAGTAGCTCTGGGCCTTTGAAATATCGGGAAGCCACACGTACATTGTACTCCTGGTTTGGGTGGTAAAACTCTGCCAAGCCCCAATCAATCAGACGAAGCTTTAAATAAAAATAAAAAAACTATTTAAAACCTGGCTTTAATTTACACACACCAATGCATGTTATTCTTAACTTGCATATTACCTTTCTGTGCTCATGGTCAATCATGACATTGTGTGGTTTTACGTCTCTGTGCATTATTCCCATACTGTGGCAGTAGTCGAGAGCCTGTAGAGTGGATATATTCATCAGATCAACATCTGATTGAGAGCGGAGCAGTCCACAACAACAGACGTTTCTTACAAATGCTACGAGTTAAAAACTATTGTGTCAATGCAAATTCAGATACACAGGCAGCTTATGCTACGTTTTGAAATTATCATCTCACCTTAAGAATTTCATACATGTAGAAGCGGATGTCATAGTCTGATAATGTTTGATACAGTTGCTGTAATGTTAGAAAAAAAAACACTTTACTACATCAAATTAAATACAAATAATTTATCCAAGTACAAGAAAAAAAAAAAGCATCTCTTACTTTGAAGTCTGTGTTGTTGACATGCTCAAATACCAGCGCTGGTGTTCGGGACTGGGCATGAAAAACAAAGCACAATGTGTTACAAACTAAGAGCCAAACAAAATCACTCATGTATATCTATTATTTTGTCAGTGAATTAAGCTTTACGGAAAATAAAAACAATTTTATAAAAAAAAAGAAGTATTGTTTAAAACACCTATATTTGTTTTTCTAACTTTAGTGCAAGCGCCTTACTATTTCAATAAACTCACCACAGGATCCTTTATGATGTCTAAAAGTGTTATAATGTTGGGGCCTCCTCTCAAGTTCTCCAGAATTTTTATTTCTCGTTTAATCTTCTTCTTTTTCACTGGCTAAAACACACACACAAAAATTAAACAACCTGAAATTCCTTCAACCAAATTGTGTTTACAGTGAGAATGCAAATATTAGATGATACCTTGAGTATTTTGACGACTACTTTCTCATTGTTAGTGATGTTTATGGCTTCGAACACTTCACTGTATTTTCCCCGGCCAAGCTTCCGCACTAACTGATAGTCATCTTGGTTTCTGCACAACATACAATAAGAATTTAACACAAACAATGAAAGCATCAGACATACCACGCATGTTTTATCAATAGTCGCAAAAAATATATATCATTAATCAATATTAAAGGAAACACACCCCCAGTCCACCACATGGGATTCATAGTCCCAGTACTCTCTGGGTCGCTGTGTGTTTACATCAGGGTAAACTCGAGAGCGACTTGGGACAGGGCCAGACATATTCTACACACGGGATTCCCTGAAACACCTGAAAAGACAACAACAGCACAATGAGAAACCTCTAGGACAATCGGGAATACATTTGACAGATTACAATCATATGTTAAAATGGAAAATAAACTACACTAAAACACAACATAAAAGCAATTGGAGGACAAAAAGTCAAAAAATAAACAAGAGAATAAATATAATGCAATACTATTATTATGTTTAGTCATGCGACTACATATTTGTATATTTATATGCGGCATATATTTGTCTATGTAATAGTACAAGTCCTCTGTACCCAGAACCTTTGCAATCCGAACCAGCTAGAAAGAAAAATAAGATCGCCTCAATAAACTGAAAACAGCAGTAAATAACCAGCAAAATAAAAGTAGTCTGGATAAAATGTATACATTTTTTATACATGAAGTTACCAAAATCATCTGCTGAAAAACATTTGCTTTGGAAGAAAATAAATACAGTGCAGTACTATTATTATAATTATATTTAGTCATGTGACTTAAGAAATAGTATCAGAAATGTTTTATAATAACAATAGTGATAATAATAATAATAAATGCATTTTTATAATGATTATTTTTACATGGCATAACAATGACCATATTTGGGGATCTGTGGCATCTGAAGTCCTATTTATACTTTAGCATCTTTAGCATCAAGTGATTGCCATACCCAAAGCCACATCTCTTTTATGTAGCTAACACCACTGAGCATTTACACTTCTGCTTCTGACTACGTTGGTCAAAAATAACACTTCCAAAATGTTAGCAGGCAGCAAGTTTTTTCTTTATCAGCAGGTCGAGTTTCTTTGAAGTATTTCGAGTTTATGATGTAAATGTGTGGGATACGACTGTAACAGTAGTTCAAATCTCACTTATTCTGGGAAGAAAGAGTTGGGAACTACTGAACAGTCAAAAACTTTAATCATACAATATATACTAAATCTACTGGCTTCAAGGACTTTAAGACCACAATGAATGAAATTATTGACTTACACAAAGCTAAGCGCTTTTTTTAATGGCCAAGTTAAAACCTTAAAAAAATATTAAATATGAATGTTGTTGAAAGGAAAATAAATTAACCATATTAATAGAGCTGCACAATTAATCGTAAAAAGATCACGATCTCGATTCGACCCCCTAGATCAGTGGTCACCAAACTTGTTCCTGTAGGGCCGGTGTCCTGCAGATTTTAGCTCCAACCCTAATCAAACACACCTGAACAAGCTGATTAAGGTCTTACCAGGTATACTTGAAACACCCAGGCAGGTGTGTTGAGGCAAGTTGGAGCTAAACCCTGCAGGGACACCAGCCCTCCAGGACCGAGATTGGTGACCCCTGCCCTAGATGATCTTAATCCAGCATTTCTACGATTCTGCCAATCATATTTTTCTGCACGAGTCTTTTCATTCTTTCACATACATTGCTCTGTGACATGGACACCTCCAAATGATGTTGAAAGAGTCCCATACTGTAATTATAAGGTATAATTCACCTAAAAATGTCATTTTTGTCTTCATATAATGCTGTATTCGCGGCCGCGAAATTACATATCACGTGAGCTGCTGACCATGAGCTGTAGTGCGGGCGCGCGCCCTACTTAATGATAGACGTGCGCGCGCTGTGAGTAACAGGTAAAAAAAAGTTGTAAATAATATTGAGTTTGTAGCGTTTGGGTGCCGTGCAAGAAGTATAAACAGCACTTAACATTAAAAAAATTAAAGCGTGTGCATCATTTAAATAATCATATCGCATTTTAGAGTTATGACTGGGACAAGCATTTGATATGTTTTTTCTTTCATAGCGAACACACAGTTGTGCATGTAAATAAATGTTTACAGTGTCAGTATAACTACTCTAGCCTATATAATGTTGATTTTACCAGTGAATTAAATGGTCTAATAATAGGGATGCACCGAAATGAAATTCTTGGCCAAAGCCGAATAATAATGAAATGCTTGGCCGAAGGCCGAATACCAAACGCAGTGTTTCGCATTTTGTTTTCCATTTAGTTTGCCAATTTTTTCGCCATTACAATAAATAAATAGTTAAAATTAGCTTTTTACTATTTTGTGTTGCTTTTCAGAGAAATAAATCAAATAACAAAAATACAATTTCAAAATATTTATTTATTTAATATTTATTTTTGACACTTTAAAGTGCTTCCACATTGCTGACATATTGCTGCATAAAGCACGCCCCTCTCACTCCACGCGGGTTACTATTTGATCACGTCAATAAAAACTTCATTGTTCGGTAAAATTTATTCGCCTTTTTAAAATTTCAGTTGCCGAATATTCGGTGCATCCCTATCAAATAATGTTGTCAATGATTGCAAGCATAGGCCTATCTCAAACATAATTGAACATCAGAATTATAAGTAGAATAGAATTATTTATAGAAACCAGTAGACCTACACATAATACTATTATAGTTGTTTTACCATATGTTTGAGAAAAAAACAATAATAATTGGCAACTCATAATAACCTTTATTGTACATCTACAGAATCATGAGAGAATCTTGATCTTTATTTTAACCAAAAAATAAATAAAATTTGCAATTCTCTTTTTAGCCAGAATCGTGCAGCTCTTCATATTAATAAGTAAAAAGAGTTAATAAATAAACGTTTCTTAAAACTTTTATCAAAATATATTGTTAGTGATTGGATGGGTGTTGTCCCAATAAGGTATACCTTTACATCATAGACATAGGAAAATTAAGACCCATTTTAAATTATTTAAGACATATAACACAATATAATTTAAGACTTTTTAAAACCCAGCAAATACCCTGCTAAATTATCAATTTGAAGGTCCTTATGACTCCAGGCTCATTAAAAAACAGCCTCGCTCTGCTTTGCTCTGCTCACACAACTGTCGGACTACCCAAACGTCACACCTATACCAGCCAGCCAATCACAGACCTTGCGCTACATGTCAACATGACATGAAGTTAAATGTTTTGAAAAGTGCACATCAGGGTCCAGTAAAGCAAATGTAACACCGGACCCTGATGTTTGTACTCAACAAATAAGTTAAAAATTGGCCTTAAGGATACGTTAACACAAAAACAATGGACTTAAAAACAGAAAACTTTTTCCTTTTGTGTTCTTTGAAAAGTTTTGTGCACACATGAATCAGTGAAAATGAAAACAACGTAATATAGATAATGATAATAATAATATAAGGCAATGTCCCAGTTAAAAGAAACACTACATGTCTGCACACAAAGACAATCTTAAATGCACATAAGCCCCACAATCAAATCCTTCTAGAAAGTTCATATTTTTACCGTAATTTTGGCAATGCACATTTTAAACCATTTAGTAGACATAGGGTTGAAAAATTATCAAAGCACATCAGCATGTCTTTGCTTTTTTGTTTATATTACAACTTCAAAATAATAATAATAATAATTGAAAAAAATATATCAACATTCTAATAGGTCATATATTGTAAATTACAAAATTAATTTTTCAATAAATATACTATCATCAATGCAGATGCTTTATCTGTTGGACTTAATAAAATTCTTTATGAGTCTCCAATCTATTATTAATCAATACATTCAACTCAAAAACATGATCTTTGCGACATTGAACGCACCCATAGTCATGTAGACTACCACTGTTCTTTTGGTTGTAAAGTTCTCGCACAGCCCTATAGACTGAAAATGTAACACTTGTGACACGATGGCTCAAACAATTGTGTGTTTTTTGAATACACAGAAAAGATAATAGCACTTCAAAAACATTATTTCTGAAAGACATTTTCATAATGTTGTTTTTAGTATACAGGCAACCATAAACGCACATTTTCTTACTTTTTTTGTTGTTGTTTTAATGTAAATTTACAGAAATGCCTAAATTATACATTAGACATTTTGCTTTAGAAACCATGACATTTAAAGTTATAAATAATGACACATCTTACTAGTGATCATGTGCTGAATGTTAATCCACCACCTACACTTTTCGAAGAGTGGATAAAAGACTTCTATTGGCTTCAAGTCCGCTATGAAAAGTCTCTGGGATGGAATTTTCAGGTAACTATTTGCCACATCTAGCACGAAAGCTTCTGTTTAATCTTTCATATAGTCGCCAGATGCTGTCCGCCGTGCAAGGGGCAGCTATATGTTAAATGTAACACCACGTACACCATCGCAAACGGGCTTACACTGACTAAACTAAAATCGCTACACATAAAAAGACCAGTATGACTATTAACATAACGTATGCATATAATAAGGTACAGTATATGTCAAAAGCATCAGTGCAATATAAGACAGCACTCGTGAGAACAGCACAGTTATACCATTAACAGATTCATTCAAGCAGTGCGTCCAGGGCCGGTGAGCGGTCCGTGTATCTTTTGGGCACTCAGTTATGTTATAAAAATATATTTTCTTGTGATAACGGGATTGCGTTAAGACATAATTTTCTCACGCTTGCATATATATATATATATATATATATATATATATATATATATATATATATATATATATATATATTTTTTTTTTTTTAGTTTGATTAGTGTTGATTTCAAATGCAGTAAATCTGTTTGCATAAAACTTGTAGTAACGGTGCTTATAATTGGTGGGTGCGATTAAATTTTGGTTGATGCGCCTACATTTTTAAAGTTAGGAGCACCGGTGCTACCAAGCAAAAAGGTTAATTTCAAGCCCTGATTTTCAAATGATCACTTCTACAGTATTTTCACTAGCTACTGACAACTTTTAACACATCATGCACTACGTTATACCATGTTTGTACAGATTATCAATTGTGTAATATAAACCAACGTTCAGAATTTCTTTTACTGAAATTATCACCAAATCTACAGCATTTTTAACATAGCTGACATTCTTTTAACCATTGGAGTTTTTTTGGCTACGCTACAAACAACTAACAAATTAAGGGTTTTAATTAAATGTTGCAAATAAATCAGATTTTTTAAATCAGAGGACATTGACGACACCAGTGAGCAAATGAAGTCAAAGGCAGATTTTGCTTGACCAGTGTACTCAGCATTGAACTGTCATAGTTTTTTTCTTTAGAATAAGTTATAACTTTAAAATAAACTGCATTAGTTAATATGATTTCATGTTTTTATTTATTTTTGAACATTATGAATTAAATTAGGAAATTACCTATGGAAACTTTAACTTTCGGTCAATATTTGGTTTTGGCTCTTCATATGAAAAAAGTTTGTGCACCCCTGGTCTAAAATGTAATTCTATAGGTTGGTTATTACCTTGGAGGATTCCTCCAAGCGGCAAATGACAGGTGGAGCTGATGAAGGCAGATGCGATGACTTTATGGTGGAGCATAAGCTGCAAGATACAGTAAATAAGCCTATTAAGAGAGCTGATAATCAAGACAGTGCATTTTAAAATTGAAGGAACTATCCAAACATTGCCAAACAAACCTGATTGTAATTCCAATGAAAGTGGACATCCAGGAGCTTATTCAGGAGACACAGCAATCCTAAAAGTCATTCCTCATGGCCCTGCGGATGCTGGAAAACACAATGATGCTGTCAAGATTACCAACAACCCCTGTGCAACATCAGCATAAGTATCAAAGTACTGGTTTATGGAGCAACGTCTATTAATAAGAAACCAGGTTACTGTACAGCCATATAGTCATTAGACTAACAAATTACCGTTTGTGAGCCTTATAAGCGCCCTTGTTATCTTCCTGAATGAATTAGTAGTTATTAAAACGACATAAATTAGTTTAAAGCATTACAAGTGCAAGAACGCATAAAATCGTTCCCCAAGTAGAAACTAAGTATATTTAAATAGCGTAGTTTCTACCTTAAAAGTAATACTGGTACGTTTTGTCATAAATCAATATCTTATTTTGAGGCCTGACGAAACAGGCTGAGAAACCATTCAAGAAAGATTTTCTCCATTCCCCACATGATCTACAGACAATCTACATTGATTTATTTAATAACAAGCAAGGATCCAAACAAGTGTATTTTCGAATATACATAACAGCTACCAAAACAGCTGTTGGTTAGCAGCTAACCGCTAACTAGCATAGCGTTTGCCACGCCTAAGCAATTTCTAAACCAGTCGCCAACACAATCAAACAGATCACAATCCAAATCATCAATTCCAATGCAAAGCTAATTATAAAAGCTTAACTAATTATGTACATGTAGCCATGAATATGTATTGTACTGTTTCATCGCAAGATTCATGCTAACTGAACGTGGCGCGACACGCCACATCAAAGCTAACGCCGCTAGCTATGTTCGGAAAAACAATTAAACAAATGTGCGAACGAAAATGAACACCAATTCACATGCAAACGAGTTAGAAAGCAAGTGTGAAGTCTGTATGTGTGTTTAGTTAGAGCTGGACTCAAATACTAACCCTATAATGATTTTTATAAAGGATACGCGTCAGGTTTTAGTAGATAGCCAGTTGCTCTGGCACGCGCTAAGTGTGTCGATTATAAATAACACAATAGGCATTCACGCTAGCATGTGTTATTGTATGAATATTATAACGTTAATGCCTTACGTGTTTGTCCTCATCTGAAAGAAATGTTTAAAAAAACAGTTCACACAGGAAAGCAAGTATCGGTAGGTCGTAAATGCACACTGCATTACCTCTCGGCGTCTCCTCATAGACAATATGGCGGATGCTGCACTGGAGAAAGGCTGCGTCTCAATAGCTAAAGAGCTGCTCTGAAAATAACGCGCACGACGCGCATGTGATGCCTCAAGATGCTGTCTACATATGCAGCTCACTAGGATTTAAGCCACGGCCAAAAAGGGAGACTGCGCAGGCACAAGACCGGTTGAAGTTCTGTATGAGTGTATAATGTATGTAAAGGCTATACATGATGTAGATAATTTACAAAGCCTATTTAGCTACTAAAAAGTTACCGAAAGAACAAGCTAACTACCTAAATTTTCTTGAAATATTTGTACACTTTCAACTTTCCCCCTCATCTTTTCAGGAATTGTGAGAATAATTTAATGTGAGTTTTTAGCTGGAGGTGAGACACCAGAAATTATCTACAAAATAGATAGTTTCCCATTATCTACAAAAAACATATGGCGCCCTATACTGGTAAGCTCTTAAGGGTAAACAAGGTAGTAGAGTCACCTCAGATCCCTCAAATCCTAAGGGATTACAATACACACTGGTTAAATATACCTTCTTTGTACATTATTAATCTTAGATACGTTTTGATAAAATATGTTCATAGAGACACTACTAACACATATTCTAATATAGAATGTACATAAACAGATAAATGTTTGTGAGTAATACCAGATTGATATAAAAATGACAAACTAGTGTGATACTGAGCAATCAGTTTTTATTCATTTTAATTAATCCAGATTTCAGATGTTCCAATTTCATAAAAAAGCCATATGTACATCAATTCCTAACTCTTCTGTTTGGTATTAAAACTTGTCAATAATACAATAACATCAATCACTGTAAATATGAACAGGGAATAATAGTGAATCTTAATTTTTTTTTTTATTAAACTTGTAATATTAATAATACATTGATATCAAACAGGCCACTGTAGATATGACCAAAAACTCAGTGGACCTGTGATTGCCTGTGATTTTAAAGCACAGACACTCCATCACCCAATGTCACCCAAACGTATCACCCAATGTCAATAGTAATAACATCAAATTATGTGGTTTTATTAAAAATTCAGGTACTCTTAGGAAATAGAGGAAAAAAGTCATACATCAAAGTCTTCAGGACCATGAACGAATGAGGTAAAACTGAGAAACAGCTTATGTTTTTTTTTTTTTTTAAGTCTTTAACCATCCTTCATCACAAAAAGTGGCACTAGTGATTTCTAAATATGCTTTTTAAAATGTTTCCTTAGATTATTGAACTATTTGAATTATTGAGCCGGCAACATTTCAAAACATTCTAGATTTGTAAAGGCAGACACTCAAGTGGTGGAGAGAATCACAGACATGACGGAATAGAGAAGCCCTTTTATACGCGAGCAGATTTATTCACACCCTTTTAAATACGACCCACTATGGGATGGATTACTGAGAATCATAACCAGAACTGCAATCACATGATCTCAAGTCAAGATCAGCTCTAAGCTGTCTTAAGCTCTCCTTTTCCATAAAAAATATCTATTTTAGTGCCATTGCATATGATAGACCTGAGGGGCTAAATGAATACTACTAAAAAAAAAAACGTAAGCAAATGTAACAAAATGTTGTATTCGCTTGTCCTTCTCAAGATGCAATTACACAAAAATACTTTTAAAAATAGATTTGCCTCGCATCTTTGCTTTCAAATTTAGAAAAATGTAACAAATTCAGTATCCTATGCATTTCATACCCAAACGAAAGCAGATAAATGGGATAGTTCACTTAAATATGGCAATTCAATCACCTTCAAATGGCTCCAAATCCCAATAGAAGCATATTTAGAAGAATGTTGGAAACGGGTTGCCATTGACTTCCATAGTATAATTTTTCCTGCTACAACATTCTTCAAAATAGCTTAATTTGTGTTTAACAAACAAAAGAAGCTCAAGCAGGTATAGAACAAGTGAAGGTGAGTAAATGATAACAGAATTGTATTTTTTGGGTGAACTACCCCTAATGCTAGTGAGATTATTTCAGTACCTGACAGAGATTCATTACACTGATTTCTATAAGACAATTAGGTAACACTTTATTTTGATGGTCCATGTGAGTATTAGTAGTAGACTGTCTGCTAAATATCTGTTGATACAGCTCCTTCAACAGACATTTAACTGCCTATAAGAAACTTACACTAACCCTAACCCCAACCTAACGGTCTACTTATAATCTAATGAGAATTAGTGGGGATGTAGATGCAATGTAATTTAATCTCAACAGATGGACCATCAAAATAAAGTGTGACTGCCCATTATATTAGATCCCATGAGTCCATTTAATTTCCCATTATATGAACAATGAAACATGTCAAGCTTCACTCTGAAATCTGAAAAGTTCTGTAATCCTAAAGTGTCCACAGTACAACCATGTCAGTGAGAAACAGCCATGTGTGAGCCAACGCAATAATAAATAAACTCTTTGAGATTTAAATGTGTATGCAGTATCAACAGATTTGTTTAGTAGCATGTAGTGTGAGGACTCCCTCTTGTGGCTGCTGGATTTTAAAAAAGTAGACAGAACTACTGATCCACAAGTGCGCTCATTCATGGATCTCTCTCAGTTCATTGCTGCAGGAGATTCAATGGTTTCTTAAAGCAGCTTAAACATCCAAGGATCTGGAAGCCACGTTAAAGTGTGCTGTTCACCATCCAGATGCAAACACAGTTTAATTGATAAGCAGCTAGTGGTGCAAAACTCCAATCCCAGAGTAGATTCACAATACGGTTTAGAAAAAGAAAAAAAAATAAGAGAGTGCTTTAAAAAAGTAGAGCGACATGCATTCTGAAACTTCAAAATGACAAAAGAGAGAGAGAGAGCAGGCTAGAAAAGCAGTTTGAGAGTTCTAATAATGATTTTTGTGCTATGAGCAGGTGGCTGTGATCATCTTTGGATTGTGTGCTGCTGGTACAGTGTGAGTGTTTGACATTGTATGAGGGATTTGTGTGGAAAGACAAAACTCTAAGAGGCTCGTCTTTCACAATCCTGAGCTGGTAAAGACCCTGTGTGCAGGGGTCTGTCATGTACACAAGAAGGGGCTTGATTCGCCCTGTCCTTAAAAGAAGTAAGAGTTCAAAAGCACTAGATTGGTAATTGTAGTCTGAGAGTGACTGGTTCCTTCAATGGCTGCTGGTGGTATGGGATCACATGAGCCAGCACTTGCTTCTGTGTTTGAACGGGTCTTTAAATCGCAGTCTTTTTTTGGACCGATACTTCTCCAGATAAGTCAGTTGCTTGCTGTTAAAGGCGCCATGACGCTTCCTGTGTGGGACACGATGACAAACACATGACAGCAATGTTAATGCAATTTTTTAATCAGAGCTTTAAAATGCATATTAACATTCCATATTACATCCATAGAAATCAATTTAACTTTAGAAGCCATCCTTTAAGCTACTTTTGTGTGTTTAAAAATAAAAATTATGATTATATTGTTATTGTTATTAATATTATTATAAAAAAATAATTCTTCTATTAGGGATGCTCCAATCAGGATTTTTGCAGCCAATATAGAATACCCATTCTGATGCTTTAAGCTTTATATAACTTTTTCCATTGCATAAAGCACATTTTCCCTCACAGCCCCACACATAATTTACCTCCTCACATATTGTAGCTGCTGATGTATAATAAATGGGTGCACACGGGTGTCTTCCTAAGTTTGTAAACTCATAAATCATTAACACTTGCGATCGGTCTATGAGATCGGCCAGATTAGCATGTACTGATCGAGTCATGAAATGAGATAATCAGCCGATATGGATCTTTGGCCGATCCTTGTCTTCTATATACAGTTAAAGTCAAAATTATTAGCCCCCCCTATAATTTTTTTCCTTTTTTAAATATTTCCCAAATGATGTTGAACACAGCCAGGTCATTTTCATAGTATGTCTGATAATATTTTTTCTTCTGGAGAAAGTAGTATTTATTTTGATTTGGCTAGAATAAAAGCAGTTTTAATTTTTTTTAAAAGCCATTTTAAGGTCAAAATTGTTAGCCCCTTTAAGCTAGATTCTTTTTTGGATAGTCTATAATATAATAATAAATCTATTATGTTTAGAAATGTGTTGAAAAATCTACTCTCCAATAAACAGAAATTGGTGAAAAATATACACGGGGCTAATGTTTCAGGGGGGCTAACATTTCTGACTTCAATTGTATATACAGTTGAAGTCAGAATTATAAGCCCCCTTGTTTATTTTTTCCAAAATTTCTGTTTAATTAAGAGAAGATTTTTTTTCAACACATTTCTTAACATAATAGTTTTAATAACTCATCTCTAATAACTGATTTATTTTATCTTTGCCATGATGACGGTACATAATGTTTGACTCGATATTTTTAAGACACTTCTATACAGCTTAAAGTGACATTTAAAGGCTTAACCAGGTGAATTAGGTTAACTAGGCATGTTAGGGTATTTAGGCAAGTTATTGTATAATGGTGGTTTGTTTTGTAGACTTTTAAAAAAATATAAAGCTTAAAGGGGCTAATAATTTTGACCTTAAAATGTTTTTTTTTTTATTATTATTAAAAACTGCTTTTATTCTAGCCAAAATAAAACAAATAAGACTTTCTCCAGGAGAAAAAATATTATCAGACATACTGTGAAAAATTCCTTGCTTTGTTAAACATCATTTGGGAAATATTTAAAAAAGAAAAAAAATTTCAAAGGCAGGCTAATAATTCTGACTTTAACTGTATATACACATCATTTAAGACTTAAAGATTAAATCTTTAAAATCCACCCATACTGTTTATTATTAGTCAGTAGTAGAAATAATAACACTTGATAACAATAATAATAATTACTAATATTAATAAGGAAAATATTACAAATTATTACTCATTATGTAAAGATTTTTTTGGACATGCATGTTATACATACACACCTTTTATGCATTTATATATACAGTGCTCAACATATACACCAAATCTTGAGATAATCTAACAAAAAAAACTTATGACAACAATCCAAAATTAGTACACCAAAATTTAAATGTTAGGGAAAAATGTAAAAAAAAAAAAAAAAAAAAAAAAAAATATATATATATATATATATATATATATATATATATATATATATATATATATATATATATATATATATATATATATATATATATATATATAAATTCTTGAAATTGGATTGGTTTTGGATTATATTTTCGAATATAAATGTATTATCGATTTATTTTTAAAGACGTTCAGTGACTAAAATATTATTTTAATAAATATATCCGTTTATTAAATCTGTTTTATTCAATGCACCAAAATATTTTATCTATATTCACTGAAAAATTGATCATTTTCAAAATGTAATGTATTAAATTATGTTGAGCACTGTGCATCTAATACTATAATACTAATAATAACACTTTTATAAATAGTAAATCATTAATTTAGGCAGTAATTACTATATTTATTGCTACATTGTTTGCCGTGACACATTAGAGCTGTGTTCCATGTCATTGTGGCATCACGGTAGATTATTATGCATCATGTCTCATCTGTGTAAATTACCATAATTTGCTGTAATGAGTTTATGCAGTACAATATCTGTCATGTATCATCATCCACTGTGATGTTTCACTTATTGTACTGAATGCGTGTTGTCGTTTTGCTGTAAGGTGTAATGTGCACTCACAATCTGATGAGGTGAATGGCTTCTTCATATTTCATGCCGCCCTCTATAAGAGCCACAGCCACCAGCACCGGAGCCCTGCAACAAACACACAGTGTTTAATACCAGGAAACGTCATCACCAAAACAATAGGTTTTCCAGGAAGCATTCAAGTTTTCACAGAAAGAACACCACCTAATGCAGTGGTTCCCAACCTTTTTCTTAGGGGCCCCCCCCATGAACATATACAAACATTGGAGCACCCCCACCATATAAATACACACGCACGCACACACATATGTACTGTATATATATATATATATATATATATATATATATATATACATACATACATACATACAGTATGTGTGTGTTTGTGTAATATTAATATATAATATGTATACAAAATATAAAATAATCAGTTTTAACTTGTCTTGGCCTTCAATAAAACCAAAATTTAGGTAGGCTTTGACATACTGTCTAATCTTTTTCTTCACCTCTAAAGAATCATTGCATTTACGTTTCTCTGCCATTTTTGTTTTGATTTTGCCTTTACGAGAAGTTGGACAACCACATTGCGCAAGTGAGCAAAATTTAAATAATTATTTAAAGTTATTTATTTTAATTATTTTTACTATTATGTTGGAATTTTAAGCATGTGTTTTGATTTTTTTTTTTTGGTACTAAAAAATACATATATAATAGTAGGGCTGCTCGATATTGGGAAAAATCATAATCACAATTATTTTGGTCATAATTGTAATCACGATTATTCAAAACGAGTATCAGAAAAAATACAATAAAATTATTAGCGCTCCTGAGAATTTTTTTTTTATAAATATTTCCCAAATTATGTTTAACAGAACAAGGAATTTTAACAGTATTTCCTCTAATATTTTTCTTCTAGGCTTATTTGTTTTATTTTAGCTAGAATAAAAGCAAGTTTAAATATTTTGAAAGCTATTTTAAGGTCAATATTATTAGCCCCCTTAAGCAATAAATATTTTTGATGACTTGCCTAATTACCCTAATTAAGCCTTTGAACTGCACTTTAATCTGAATGGTTGTATTTTGAAAAATATCTAGTAAAATATTATGTGCTGTCATCACAGCAAAGATAAAATAAATCAGTAATTAGAAATGATATATCAAAACTTTTATGTTCAGAAAAAAACTTCTTTCTATGAAACAGAAATTGGGCAGGAAAAGTTAATATTCAGCTAATATTCAGGAGGGCTAATAATTCTGACTTCAAGTGTTTACATACAGTTATTTTCCAGCCTGCAAAGGAAAGAGAAATAAATACAATTAAATAAAAATATTAAACAAACTGCTTTAAGCATCTTCACTGTAAGAAAAACACTTTAGCTACAAAAATCCTTCAGAGAAACATTTTCTCGTTATGTTTGATTAATGATAAAACAGGCGGCAGCAGGAATATTTCGCGCTGTCTCTTTAATGGTTTCTCTTTCACGTCTTTTGATTCTCAACTTGTTTGTTTATTACACAAATGGGGGCTAATATAAATAATCACGAAACACCGCGTTTTGACACCTATTTGACCATTAAAGCGCTCACGTTAATGACTTTAGATGTCTGCGCTCCTCTGCTCGTCTCAGTGTGCAAATGAGAGCGAATGCTGACTGGCCGCATGCTTCTGGCTGCGTGTGCGTGCTGCACACACACATTCGCGCTTTTAAGAGCAACGCGTGCACAGCTGGAAAGGTGGCGGTATATGATGCACATAATCGTTTATCTTGATTAATGCTTTTTTATAATCGTTTGAAATCGAAATCGGATTTTCGATTAATTGTACAGCCCTATATAATAGTGGAGCATTTTTATGCCTTTTTCTACCTCAATACTTATCCTCTCCCGCGCCCCCCTTGTGAACTCTGGCGCCCCCCTTAGGGGGGCGCGGACCCCAGGTTGGGAACCACTGACCTAATGCATGTGAGAACAGGTATCTGACATTTCTTGTGAGTGAATACCTCATACTTTGAAAGGCACATACAGAGCACATATAGTCACAATAAATACACTGCTACTGTACCAATAAATTATTGTTTAAAGGGCACCTATTTCACCCCTTTTTTCAAGATTTAAGATGAATCTTTTGTGTCTCCAGAATGCATCTAAAGTTTCAGCTAAGAACACCTAATCGATTATTTATTATACCTTTCAGAATATTAGATTTTCTGCTTTGAACACAATGTAACAGAAAATGTTTGTTTTCAACTTTTCTGGGTTCCATTTCAAAGGTTAAAATAAAGTCAGTAACCAAAAAGCCATGACCAAATATTTTAATTGAATCATGAAACTTTTTAAAAAGTATAACAAAAATTACTTTAGTAATTAATATTAATAACTTTTATTAATGTTAAAACATGGAGATACAGTTGTTTAATCATTATTTTAAAATATTAAATTATGTATTATCACTTATTATGTTGAAAAGTAAATTTTTCTGCATCTCTCTGCATAATTTTAAACCAAACTTTAATTTAGATAAATTTTTTCCCTAAATTTGACATTAGGTTAATTCAGTTTTTAGTCCTGTAATTTGCTTCAAAAACAACTTTTTCTTCTTATTATTATTTTTTTTTACATTTTGCTCTTTGTTTCCCAGTTTGGAAAAGGGCATGAAAAGACAAAAAAATCCTTTAATTTTATATGGATGGTATCAATTATAGATTAGTAAGATTATTATTATTATTATTATTATTATATCATATCATTATACGCACCATCACCATTTTTAATAAAATACATTTAATCAGTCCCTGTTAGAGACTGTGTCTATTTTTCCAGTTTGCATTGAGGGTCCTGACAGCTTTGAAGTCTCCACTCATTGTGCCCCTTTCCGATGCATAACAACACAAACCCAGCCTACTAAAGCAAACATTGGCTTCCAGTCAAAAAGCACTGAGGGCTCCCACAGGACCTGCAACCTACGTCAGAGAGACGGGTGCAGAAAAGCTCAGGGGTCAAAGAGAGAGGAGGGCAGTCAGGGTAAACTGCCTCAGAATGATGGGTTGAGCGCTGCTTAATTAAGGTCTGTGTATTTTGACAGAGTAGATAAGAGGGCAACACTGACAATGGAGATATGGAACAGCAATTAACAGAGCTGCTTATCATCCTCTTCCTGTTTCGTATTCGGACGTCAACCTTTCTGCCTTGAATAATAAACTGGGATTAATATTGTGTGTCCGTGTGGTTGGTTGGTTTTGGCAGGCAGTGGTCAGGCAGAGAGAATGGGTTTGACCTGGAGAGAACAAGGGCCAAGATTGAGAGGCCTGCTGCTGGGGGGTATTTGGGGTAAAATATATATATATGTGTGTGTGTGTGTGTGTGTGTGTGTGTCTGTGTATATATATATATAGAGATGAGAAACCAAATGTAAACAAAAGGCCTCAAACACTATACGAACACAAGTCAGCCTAAAGCTCTGCCAGAAATATCTCTCTCACACACACACTCACACACACACACACACACACACACACACACACACACACACACACACACACACACACACACACACACACACACACACACACACACACGATTGCATTCTGAGGAGGGAGAAAAAAAGAGCAACAGATCCTGGGAAAGACTGTTGATTTGTTTGAGAATTTTTGTAAGAGAGAGAAGCAAGCCACATAAAGCTTGACCCATCAGATTCAGTTCAGTATTTGCACGTCTACATGTTCTTAACAACAGCATACTGGGAAATTACACGTGGAACTGTATAAAAATTTCAGAAACTTTCATTTAAACCAAAGTTATTTTGGAAATATTAATAGACTATGCGCCACATTTGTATTGGCAAAAAAAAAATGGCAATTTTGGTTTTCAATCGAAACAATGAGCCAAAAAAGGGCTATGCTGCATTGATCAAAGTGCAAATGCAGTAGAGCACATAGTAACAAAGCGCATCGTCAGGTAGCTTGTGCACGTGCTGCAGTTAAAATTAAAAATAGCTCAATGTTCCACTGTAAATATTGCGTTCTTGTACCCTTATATTTATCTATGCATGTACTGCACATATTAAGTGAAAAAAGCAACGTTAGCACAAATAACGCACTGACAGGACATTTCTATAAAGTTGACTGGTTCCTAATGTTTGCAATAGTGGAAAATGATGCCTCTCAATTTTACTGTCAGAAAATGTGGATATTTTATTAGCTTGTGTTCTTTTATTGACATAATTTAAATTTAAAGTCTTTAAAAAATACTATTATTTAATACAATTATAAAAAAATATTATAGAGCATTTTTGTTTTTGATTTAATTTAAATATTTTCATTTCCCATTATTAGTAGGGATTTTTTGTTTAAACTACTGACCAATACTGAAGTGGATATTAGTCTCCATCTCACCTCTATATAGTATTAGATCTAGACTAGACTAGTATTTTCCTGCATCAAATTATCTTCTCTTAACATAAATTGTATGCTTTATGCTATAGAATTAACAACCAACATCGACATAGGAGAGGTAACAATACGATGCATAATCATTTACACAGGTAGGTAACAGTTGTTATTTGTAAAGTGCTCAACCAAAATTTTAAGTTGAAGTTTTGAGTTGCCAAATAAATCCTCTTTGAAACAACAGTGCACTGGTCCAGTGTGGGCACACCACTGACATGGCACGATGATTTGATAATGCTGAATTTAATTTTTACACCCCGCAAAGGTGGCTTTGGTTAGGAGTTAAAAGGATGAAGTGAAGTGGTGTTTATCCTTCACTCACCGGCCCAGTCCAGCCACACAGTGCACAGCGACACAGCAGCCTGGATCCTCTGAGAAACTTTTCTTCAGCAGACTGATCCAGTCATCCACGATCTTTGTAGGAGGAGGTGCACCATCATCAAACGGCCAATCCTAAAGGAGACAAACACCGGGATAGGTTCATGTCTATGTATATCTATGAACTACAGCATGTCACTATATTTCCCTTAAAAAGAAAACTCTCATACAGAAACACTCGCAGATGAGAATAAGGAAATGTTAAGCAAATGATTCCAGTCAACACCAGCAGGTGGTGCTCCATAATGCCTCTGATTGACAACTCAGATTCACAGAAGCCAGCGAATCCCTTTGATGATTCCTGTGTGATTTTCACAAGTTCTGCAATGGCAAACATCTCACTTTCACTAGTCCTGTGAACTCAACCAGTTCAATTGGATCCGTCACAAACAGCTCCATTTAACACCACGTGCATAAGCTGAATCATCAAAAATGCTGAATTATGTAAGAACTAAGAGGGAAAAAAATGAACTAGCAAAGCAAAAATGAGGTTGCGTACATAATGGAATTGTTTCAAATCTGTAAATCCTCCTTCTGAGTAACACAAAAGATATTTGTAAGAATGTTAAAGTATTTTTAAATGCACAATAATTCACTAACTGTTGGTTCAAAAAACCAACAGCAGATCCCATTGAGGCAATGAGTTGTACAGACAAACTTCAAAATGTGTTTCACAAAGAAAAAAACTTGAAAATAATGTGTGAATGAATCCTTTAAATAGAACATTTCTGACGTGGTTAATGATTTTCGCACTTGATGTATGGTTAATACATCGCATGCTCTCCACGCTTCTGGGGTTTGATGAATTCGTCAGCAGATCAGTCCAAGCACAACCCAACTCACGAGCACATATTAAAACATCCTTTTTCTTTCATTACAGGTAGTGTTTTATGGGAAGACTAAATCTGATAGATGTTTTAGAAGCAATTGTGCTGGGTCAAAATACACTGACAAACAGAGCATGGTGCTTTTGCATCGCTGCTTTCTCAGAAAAGGAGACATTAATAGAGGAGACCATTTTCTACGAGGAGCGTCTATGAGAATCTCCCTGTACAAAAATAACATTTTGATCCACTAAGAGGTTAATAGGCCCCTCCTTGTCTGGTATGTCAACAGTAGGCTATTAATTCCAGGAGTCCATTCCAAGATGGAAGTGCTCTGTACTCTTGCCAGGGCACACGGACTCCAGAAGAAGCAGTGTGGGGCCTAATTGTGGAAAATGCCCTGGCATTTTTTCTTCGAATTGCAGAGCTGCTATTTCTCCAGCAACTCGAGCCTCTGCATATAAGAGAGCCGGAGAAGATTGAAGCACCTGTTTGCTGTCAAGCAACACTCCAGAGTCATTGCTTCCATTAAAGCCTATCTTGTTTTCAAAACTTTCACTTCGGAGAATGATACTGACAAGAAGCATCCACTCACTGATGTGATGAATTGCTGATCAGAAAGAACATTCATGACTAGAAAACAATTTAGATGATTACATCAGAATGATTTGCAGACTATTTAACATCATCTCTGAAACGAATAGGATCTAAAATGCACAAATCCCCAGGTTAATCATACACTGAAACTACACTACACAACCTGTCATCAAGTTCACTGAACTTTATGTGATCCAGCGGTGTAAAAATGGAGAGGATGACTGTTTAAATCCATCTGGAGTTGATTGAAATAGAGAGAAAATCCCGTTCCATGTTTTGACCCCCAGCAAAGCTATTGCCTCATCTCTTATGAAGAGCAGAAGTGATCAGTTTATATAACAAAAAACCCACACAGTACATAAACAGAGGGAAAAGATAGAGCACAGAGCAAATAAAAGTCAACATGGAGAGAAAACTATAGGGAATTTGACCTCCTTGTGAAGCACAAATGCTGTGGCAATCAAAACATGGTCTGATTAGACTGATATACCTGAATCAAAGGTGACTGTTCTCACCATTGAAAGATCTTAGGATGAAAAATTACACAAAACTATTTGTTGTTATGCACCATTGATAGTAATACAGTGATTGATCAGATCTGATACAGCAATCATAGCAAGGCCTCTAAAGACTAAAGATCTCGAAAAGGTTTTGGGTCTTTGACTCTTTTTTTTTTTGCTCACCAAAGCCGCATTTATATATAAAAAAAAATACTGAAAACAGCTTGTCATTCTGTAGCAGTCTATTTTGTTTTCTATTTTTATTTATTTTACTGTGGCTCTATTAAGTATCCCAACCAGCTCAACAACAGCAATAAAAGCTCAACAAATGGTGTGAGACTTAGACGAGACTGTTGGTGATGCTCATAACATATATAGGAGTAGTCCAGGGCTGTACGATTAATCGGAAAAACGTGGGAACAGAAACTGTATAGACTGTGAAAAAAAGGTGTAAATAACTTTCAGTTTGTGCAGAGCGATCGCTTAAGTGCCAAACGGGAAGAACGATATGCATGTATGTTTTTTTTTCTCTCGAAGTGATGACAGCCATGACATGAACTGCACTCGGCAGTGAAAGTGAAACTAAAATCACGCACATCATTTAAAGGATCATATCGCATTTTAAAGTTATGACTACGACAAGCATAGCATTGTGTTCATAGCGAACAAAGTTTTGTGCTTGAAAATAAAGGTTTACTAGGTCAGCAGAGCTTCTCTATCCTATATAATGTTGAATATAATACAATAATATAATGACAAATGTCTGATTTAAGAAAAAAAATGTTCTAATAATGTTAAGCACATGTCCCAAATATAATAATTCAACTCTAGAATTATGAATAGTTGCATTCTGATGTAATCACTTTACTGTGCATTAACAAACAGGACAAATTTAAAGTCTATTCAAGTCCACCATTCCAAGACTATACAAAATGTAGCATTTTAACCAACAGCAGACCTACACATAGGCCTAATATTATTAGTGTTGTTTTACCAGATGTTTAAGAATAACAATAATAATAGCCTACTCATATTAACCTTTATTTTACATCTACAGAACAGTGAGAAAATCGGGATCTTCACTTTAGGCAAATAAAAAAAAAATTAATGATTCTCATTTTAGGCAGAATCGTGTAGCCCTAGAGCAGTCTGAGAAAACGTTTTTATAGTTCAGTTTTGTAAGAATAAAAGACTCGCACTTTCACTTTTAAATGCTACTATTATGCCATCTTAAAAGTTCCTAATTGTGTTTTGCATCATCACATCATAATATTGACAGTCCCAGTCAAATAAAGAATAATTATCTACTCATAACCTTTTGGAGAGATTATGCCATATTGAGTCATATAGTACAATTCCTGCTAATAATAAACCATTAACTGACTACTGACTTAAACTGACTATTACTGGTTAAGCTAGTAGTTGGGCTTTGGATTTTAGAGATTAGAGATGTAGAATAATATCATGCAGGAAATGTACTTTAGAAGTCATTTTAATAATCTTAATAATTGGCAAGTAATAGGCCATTAGTTATTAGTGAGAATCAGAACTTAAACTATAGTGTTATCCACTTTGGATGCAGCCAATAACTACTTGTAGGCTTTGATCTGAAAAACTTTGTAGACCTTTTATATTTGCAGCTACACTTCAAACTGCATGAAAGCCAAGGATCAGAAAAACGTGATGGGGTACTTCAAGTGTTCTGGTAATGTGAATCCTTTTAAAAGAAGAGTTACTTGCAAACAAAACTAAATCCTGTCTGGATAAAAGTAGTCATGTTTTTTACAAGCTCCACGTTCTTTTGATTGAGAGGAGCAGATTAAATCAATACATCTTGTCCAGCTTTCACACAGACTCTTTGTTCAACGTTGTTTCTGTCTTGAAGAAAAGGACTGTTTTCTTGATGGCACAGAGGAGGATTTACAGTGCATCTGCTACACTTCTCATGTACTTCAAACATAAGAGTTTATAAAAGCAAAGCACAAGATCCTCAGGTCAATCTGACATAGCTACATTTCTAAGATTCCACCAGAACGTATCATCAAATATATGTCTTATCATTTAATGAGAAGTTTAACAGGGTAAAAGGGTACAAGGGTGTATAAGTCTTTATAAAAAGTGCAGAGGGAGAGGAATCAAGATCTCCTCCAGTTACCGTGGCAACAGGAAAATCCTGACAAGCCAAATTGAAAACACATGTGGATGTTGGATTCAAGCTGTTTTTGAAAAAGCGAAGGCAGGGAAAGGTCTGTTGTTTGGAAGAAAGTTATAGGCTTGTATCCTCGATGAAGATTTCCCCTCGGAGCAGCAGACAGAAAGCAACCTCATCTCACTCCACTTGACATCATCTCACATGACTGGGCGGCTGGTTTATACAGCATGTGTGCTTCAGGATTAGATAATCGCAGCAGGGTCGTGAAGATGTGGCCATATGAATCCAGACCGAGGCTTTACATGATGTCTGAAGAAGTCCATCACCTTCATTAAAGTACCACTAATTACAGTAGCATCACTGCAGTAAAGCTGAAGTGTTAATTAAAGGAAGAGTGGTGTGGTGTGGAGTGACACTCACTCCCATGATCAGGAAACTATCCAAGATTATTAGATTCAGGTGGCAGGGTAAGTGTGTGCACGCATCACGGGACATACAAGCTTTTACAGGATATAAACAAAACAATGAAAGAAAGCAGGAAAATAACTAGAGGTCACTGTATAAGTGCTAGTATTACATTGGGAAAATCTTTTTTTTCTTGCATATTAAATAAGAAATTATTATGCTACAAATAAAACAGTGATAATTTACTCAAGTTCCCATTCAATTTAAAATTGGGAAATAAATAAAAAAATCATAAAAAACTTTAAATTAATTCCAAATTTACATCTAACGTTAAAACTGAAATTTTATTTGTTTAAAATGTTTAATCATATTAATAATATCAACGTTGAATGAGTCAAATAAGACAATATCCGAATATATTCGTACATAGATAATTGTGAAAAAGCATTGAGATAAAGATATCAGCAACATTGTAGAAATGTATAAATACTAAAAAGGATTAGCAATTTTCTTATTTAATGTCACTCATCATCTTTGTCAGGTTTTTCAAACTAACAAAACATTTAATGGACAAAACATTTAAAAAACAACAAAACAAAAAAAAAACATGTCTGATAAAAAAAAATTCTGCTGGAGAAAGTTTATTTGTTTTATTTTGGCTAGAATTAAAGCAGTTTTTAATTTTTTTAAACACCATTTTAAGGACAAAATTATTAGCCCCTTTGAGCTGTTTTTTTTTTTTTTTTTTTGATAGTCTACAGAACAAACCACCATTATACAATAACTTGCCTAATTACCTTAACCTGCCTAATTAACCTAGTGAATTAAAGTAAAATATTCATTCATTCATTTTCTTGTCGGCTTAGTCCCTTTATTAATCCGGGGTCGCCACAGCGGAATGAACCGCCAACTTATCCAGCAAGTTTTTACGCAGCGGATGCCCTTCCAGCCGCAACCCATCTCTGGGAAACATCCACACACACACTCATATACTACGGACAATTTACCCTACCCAATTCACCTGTACTGCATGTCTTTGGACTGTGGGGGAAACCGGAGCACCGGCCACAGCACTACCTACTGCGCCACTGCTTCGCCCTAAAGTGAAATATGTTGTAAAATATTATTTACTGTTATCATGGCAAAGATAAAATAAATCAGTTATTAGAAATAAGTTATGAAAACTATTGTTTAGAAATGTGTTGAAAAAAATCCCTCTGTTAAACAGAAATTGAGGAAAAATATAAATAGAGGGGCTAATAATTCAGGGGGCTAATAACTCTGACTTCAACTGTGTATACACACACACACACACACACACACACACTTTACAGATGACACTTGTTTACAGTATGACAGAAAAACGCATCTCACCATGACCGTAATTCCATGCTTCTCCAACGGTGTTTTATCATAGGTGCTTTCACACACACGCACCACTGTTTTCGCGTCATACCTTTTCAGATCCTGAGGAAACAAGATAGCACAAGTTTAACTGACAAAATGTGCATTAAGGCTTTGTGTAAATGTTTTAATGTGTTCTTGGTTGCTGTTCAAATCACAGTAGCTACTTTGATCAGTACGTCTGTAAATGCTGTTGCTCATGTCTGCCTGATCTCTCACCTCAATGAAGGTGTCTAATGTTTGATTGGTTGGGTTGTGCGTAATAACGAAGCGCATGCTGTTGTAGCAGACCTCGACGGGGTACAGACCGTTCAACCAGGCCATACTGGAGGTCCTTCTACGCAACAGAAATTCAGTCCAGGATCCTCAAAAGCTCCACTCACAATACAACACTACAACAGGTGCAGTATATCACAGTGAAGGTGTCAAGAATTAGCAGAATCCTCAGTGATAGATAAACCACTATTAATCAGTATATAAAAGTAAAAGCTGCCTTTCTGGGAAATCAGAGGCCACAAGAGTCTTCCTTTTCCTTTTGGTAGGGATTCTCTGCCGGGCAACTAGGCAGGTGGACCAGTGTCCGGTAGCAAATTACCAGCTGCTGCGATGCCAGTTAAGAGCTGAGAAGAGCTGAGAAGCTGTTCCTCCGGACATTCAGGGGTAAATCGTGGGCGTCTCCACTCGTGATCAAGCTGTGTGATGTTGGGCGTGGCAGTAGTCACCGCTGCCCTGCCAGAACTCCATTAACAGACAAGAGGCTGGAGGAGAAATCTGAAAGGGAACAGGACGGAAAGGAAAATTGTCAAACATATTCAGTAATAAAGTTCTTTGGTATTTTAAAAATATCTCATATTAAAAAAAATAAAATAAAATTTAAAAAGAAGGTTTTAATTAAAGCAAAGGAGAAATACGTCCAAGATTTTACAATAATACAAAAGTTTTCTTAAATTCAGATGATGGTAAAACATTTTAGACGAAACAAAAGCAAAACTTAAAAAAAAAATCTTTACAACACAATTTTACCATTAAATAAAGCAATATATGGACTTCCGGTTATGGCGCGCAGCTGAGAGGACGCACGAGGAGAGCTCGCTGCCAATTTTCTGAACAAATCCTTATAATAGACCCAAACCTGTACGTAACCATTCGAGATAATATTAAAACATACACAGAGAAAATGCCACCGAAAGCAACCAAGCCAGGACAACAATCGAAGTCACCAACTCAAGTTGAAGGAGATAACGTTAGCCGAGAGAAAACTAGCCAACATGAAGATGAGGTAAAGAGCGCGGCTAACGCGACTACAAACGAAGTCATTTTAAGTGCAATTAACTCTTTGAGAGCGGACTTTTCTAAGCAATCTGTTGAAATGCTAGATGCCATAAAAAGTATACAATCCGATTTGGTGACTCATTCGAAAAGAATCGGGGAATCCGAGGAGAGAATCTCGCAAACCGAGGAAGATGTCACAGCTCTCCAGCGCAAAGTTAAAAAACTGGAAGAAATAACTTCATCCTTGCGCAACAAAGTACAGGATCTGGAAGATCGCGGAAGGCGCTCCAACTTGCGGCTGGTGGGCTTACCTGAAAAGACAGAAGGCTCGGACACATGCGCTTTTCTTGAAAACTGGCTGCCAAAAATTTTGACCGACACTTTCGACCATGCGCCGGTTATTGAACGAGCTCACCGGATCGGACAAATACACCCTAATCGCCCAACAACTCCTCGACCTATTGTAATGAAGTTCCTGAATTACAAAGATAAGGAAAAATGTTTGAGAGCAGCTAGAAGGCTTAAAGAGCTACAGTATGACGGAAAACACGTCAGCCTGTTCCCGGACCTCTCAACGGAGACACGCCAGCAGCAGCGACAATTTGACGGTGTGAAAGCCCAGCTCAGAGACAAGGGAATTCGTTACGGCATGATCTATCCGGCCAGCCTGATAGTCACACACGCTGAGCGGCGCCACATTTTTAAGTCCGTCCCTGAGGCAGAGGACTTTATTCGATCAGTGCAAGCTACAGGTAGAATGCTGTGATTAAGGAACTGGATGACGAACTTAAACCCTAACGGTGATGCCCAAACGAGGTGATTACCGATGTATAACTATTGAGTCAGATCACATTATAATAGCAGCAGATCTTTGTGTTAGTTAACATAGTTCAAGTTCTTTCCCTTCTCTAAATGTAAAGCAGTTCAATATGTCCATATATTTAAAAAGATTGTAAATGGTTTATCATTGTCCACTATGAGTGGAAGTTAAAAAGATTAGATCTCTGGTCCAGACCAGATAAATACTTGGCAGCGAGCCCAGTGGATATATCGTGAATATAGGCTCGCACAGTTTGCTCCATATTATGGATCAAACATTGTTCATGACTGTAAGTTGGTTATTGGGGGGGTCTATGCATTTCGATAAGGTAATGCATTCAGGGCTGTTCTATATATGTTCGATTATGGTTTCTTTGTTAAACGTTTTTTTTTCTTTTTTATTCTTTTTTTTTTTCTTCCCTCCAGTTCAATGTGTGCAATTATTGCAGGACAAACCAAAGTAATTAATGGCTTATAATTCGGAGATCAAAATTACCAGTTGGAATATAAGAGGGTTGAATAATCTTGTAAAACTTAAACAAGTATTGGGTAAACTAAAGCAAATGAAATCAAGTGTTGTCTTCTTACAAGAAACACATTTGAAAAAAGATGATATTGGCAAAGTTACTAAAAGATGGCCGGGACAAGTTCACTATGCCTCTTTCACCTCTCATGCAAGAGGAGTCATGATTCTCATTCATAAATCAATCCCATTTCAATTAAAAGAACAATGTGTAGATCCTTCAGGGAGATACATTATTCTTAATGGTACAATTCTATCCACACAAATTAATCTAATAAGTTTATATGCACCTAATGAAAACGATCCCAACTTTTATCAAAATTTATTTCTCACCATATCATCATACAACGGTAACTACGTAATTGGAGGGGACTTCAACTGTGTATTAAACCCATTATATGACCGCTCTTCAGGAACGGGGAATGCACATCAGCAAACCAAAAAGGTTATTGAAAAATATATATCGGATCTGAATTTAACCGAAATCTGGAGATACCTTAACCCTAATAAAAAAGAATTTTCATGCTTTTCCAGTACCTATAAAACATATTCTAGAATAGATTATTTTTTGATCTCTAACAGCCTAATTTCAAAAGTTGGTAAATGTTATTATGATAGCATTATACTTTCGGACCATGCCCCAATTACAGTAACAATTCAAATTAGCAAGCTCTCGTTCTCCCCTTTTAGATTCAGATTTCAGGCAAGATGGCTTCAAGATTTAGACTTTGTTAATTTTATGGACAATAAAATAGATCAGTATTTTCTAGTGAATACGGACCAGACAAGTGCCTCTGTGAAATGGGAGGCCTTTAAAGCCTATATAAGAGGGGAGATACTAAGCTTTACAAGGCATAAAACCAAATTATATTATACTCAAGTTGAAAATCTAGAAAAGCAAATTAAAGCAATAGAGCAACAACTATTTAATAGATATGATCCTCTGAAACAAAAAGAAATATTAACACTTAAAGCCCAATATAATGAATTAACTAGTAGCAAGATAGTTAAAAATTTAATGTGGTTAAAACAGTCTTATTATGACCAGGGCGAAAAAGCAGGGAAATTACTGGCATGGAGAATCAAAAAGATGCAGGCAGATAGAGCAATTAATTCAATTATAAATGGAAATGGAGAGAATATTGTAGACCCACAAGAAATTAATGATGTTTTAAAGACATACTATGAGGATTTATACAAATCGGAAAATACAAACATCTTAGAAAAACAAGATTCCTTTTTGGATAAACTAAATTTCCCTACTGTATCAAATGAGGATAGATGTAAATTGGAGGAAAATTTAAGTATCGAAGAGCTGCAAGAAGCATTACAGTGTATGAATAGTGGAAAGGCTCCTGGGCCCGATGGTATACCTGTAGAATTTTATAAAAAATTTGCAGGTAAACTTATGCCCCACTTACTTGAAGTATTTAATGAGTCGCTGGAAAAAGGTATTCTACCACCCTCGTTGAGAGCTGCACTAATAACGCTTGTATTAAAACCAGGAAAGTCTCCCAAGGATAAATCATCTTATAGACCAATATCTTTAATGTCTTGTGACACGAAAATTCTTTGCAAAGTGCTGTCTAATAGAATTGAAACACTGGTGCCCAACCTCATCATGAACGACCAAAATGGATTTGTGCTTGGAAGGCAAGCCTTTCATAACACCCGTAGGGTTCTTAATATACTATACAAAAAGCGAAATGCCAAAGACCACGCAATCCTGTCATTGGACGCTGAAAAGGCCTTTGACAGGATTGAGTGGGTCTATCTGTTTGAAACACTCAAAAGATTCGGACTGGGAGATGGTTATCTTAAATGGATCAGATTACTTTATACAGAACCTCAGGCAGAACTAATAACAAATAACCAAATTTCAAAACCATTTAAATTAAGTAGAGGCACACGCCAAGGATGCCCTTTGTCCCCCCTATTGTTTTTATTTGCAGTTGAACCTCTTGCAATGACAATTCGTAATAATCCTGATATAAAAGGTATAACAGTAGGAGGAAAGGAACACTGTCTATCTTTGTTTGCAGATGATATTATAGTTTTTCTTTCAAATTTGAAGACTTCTATTCCAACACTTAACAACATACTTTCTGAATTTAAAGACTTTTCTGGTTATAAAATTAACAATAATAAAAGTGCCCTGTTAATCTTAAATGAAGATGAAAGAAGAAATTCTACATCTAATAGACAATTTATTAACACCCCTGAAGGATTTATATATTTAGGTATTAAGATAACCTCCAATATAAATAAGATTATTTCGACTAATTATGACCCATTAGTAAGTAAAGTTATAGACTCACTTGAGAGGTGGAATTCATTACCCATTTCTATTATTGGACGCATAAATATCATAAAAATGTCAATTCTGCCCAAGTTTTTGTATCTTTTCCAATCGATTCCACTTCCACTTTCGGCCTCTTTCTTTTCCACACTTAATAAAACATTCACAAAGTTTATATGGAATAATAAACAACCTAGATTACGCTTGTCCCTTCTTTATCTGCCATATGAACGAGGAGGACTGAGAGTACCAAATGTTAAACTATATTATTGGGCAGCCCAACTTTGTACAGCCATGTACTACTTCAAAAATACAAACACATCTCCGGCATGGGTTGATCTGGAAAATAATGAAACATCATTCCCATTACAGACATATCTGTATTCTTCCCCAATAAAATTTCTAAAAAAAAAATACTAAAAACCCTTTTCTTAGAAATACCATATCTGTATGGTATGAAGCACATAAATTCTTAGACGAAGGAATTAAATTATCAGGTCTTTCACCAATTTGGGGTAATTCAGTATTTATACCTGGTAGAAATGATATTGGATTTAAAAACTGGATGCTTAAAGGCATTAGTCAAATTAAAGACTTGTATGAAGAAGGTTCATTGATGTCTTTTCAATTAATGGTGAAACATTATGGCCTTCCTCAGAATCACTTCTTTAAATACTTACAGGTCAGGAGCTTTGTATACTCTCAAAGGAAAGATTATACAGAACCTCCACTGTCAACCATTGAAAATCACACCTTAAAACACTTGAACAGCAGGGGTAACCTATCCTCATTTTATAATTTACTTCTTGAGGGGTCAAAAGAAAATTCTTTATCTTACCTATCTGCATGGGAAAATGATATCCAGGAAAATATTTCAAAGGAAGAATGGGAAGAATCATGTGTGTTTGCCCAAACCCATAGTATCAACACTAGATGTAGACTAATGCAGTATAAATGGCTTTTTAGAACATACATTACCCCAGTAAAGCTAAATAAATTTAATTCAAATATCTCTGACATGTGTACAAAATGCAGAGAAGAAATAGGTACACTCTATCACTGTGTGTGGACATGTAAAGAGTTGCAGAAATTCTGGAAGGAGACTCTTTGTTTGATTAGTCAATTAACAGAGGAAAATGTTCCTCTTGACCCCAAGCTGTGTTTATTTCATATATACCCAAGTACTCTGGTTGTGAATACAAAGAAGCGCAAACTAATAGATTTTAGTTTGCTGCAGGCCAAGCGTGTTATTGCATTAAAATGGAAAGAGACTCAAAGGCCCTCTTCTAACCAATGGATCAAGGAAATGTCCTGTAATCTTGCTCTGGAAAAACTAACGTACATTATCAAAGGGAAGTTAAAAGACTTTTATTGCATTTGGAACCCCTTTCTACACTTTTGCAACCAAGTGGACCTGACAGCAGAATAGAACTTAAAGCATCAAGGTCAAACAGTGAACTACTTTTGATGATGTATGCAAAAAAAATACTCCTTATTAATTTTTTTTTTTTTAATTTATTTATAATTTTTCTATTTTATTTATTCATTTGTATTTTTTATTTTTTTTACTGTTGCTATTTATTCATTTATTTTTAAAGTTTTGTATATTAGTCTGGAGTTGTTTTGTTGTAATGTGTTGTTCAGATGTCTTGTTTTAATGTTGTGAAAAACCCAATAAAAAAAATAAAAATAAAAAAATAAAAAAATAAAGCAATATATAATTATGGTGCAGGTCAGGATTTAAAACTTAAAAAGGTAATTTCTTAAATCACAGAATATGATTGCTTACAATTTTGACATTAAATATCCTCAATTAGAAAAAACATAAATAACATCACACAAAACACTCTCAAGATTATATACAACAAACAGAATTCAACAGTTGGACCAACTTCTCAACTTTAACAAAGACGAAACAACCAAACTTCTCATACACACACACACACACACACACACACACACACAATAAAAGTTGTAGAGCTAAAGCATTAAAACAGTGAACACTTTTTTTCCAATGACATGAGTGATAAAAATCACATGAAACGGTTATTTTAGATCTCCACTATGACTAGCGAGAGTCGTCGCCTCTTACCTTAGTGACAGGCTGCGATCTGCTTTGGATTAAGCCCAGGACTCTGCTGGGAAGAGTGGAGAGTGAACGGTTGCAATCTGTAACAACTGTCTCTGCTCTAAACCAGTCGCGACTGCCTTGGCTTGCCATATGACAGTGACAGCACACTACACTAATGTCACAAACAAACGCGCTCGTAATGCTCTTAGGAGGAGTGGAAAGACCAGTCCACCCCCACCACACTCCCTCTCTCTCTCTCGCTCGATCCCAACATAAAAATAGCACAGCCAATGAACCTAATAGGTATCACCACGTACGCACATGTCTGTTTATGTGTTTAAAGGCTGACTGAGATATAATACACACTTCGTTCTGTGCTTCAACAACAACAACAACGTAAAAAGACACTTGACTGATGAGTCATCTGTACATATAAATATTTTTAAACAATAGTATAAGACAGAAAACATAAATAAGGATAGCTCCCCTAAAATGACAATACAGTCATTGATCAGTCGCCCTTTTTCTCTCAAACCAATATCTCAAACCAATTATTAATTTTTTTTTGTACAGTGGAACACACATAATAAAAGCAAATGAAGGCCAAAGTTACTCATACACCAGTATTCTTCAAAAGATTAATGTAAACTCATGACATGAAGGTGAGTAAATGATGACAGATCGCTTATTTTTGAGTGAACTGTTCCTTTCAAAATAGTGATGAACTGGTTTTCATCATTAAACAGTATTTCACATGTTTTGAGTACTGTCATTAGATATTTCCCAAACACTCCTGATATTGTAGCTGTCGATGAAGTATTGGAAAAAATCCCAATTATGGAAGTAGGCTGCTGTTTTTACATATACATAGATTTGTGCTATTCAAAAAAAATATTTCTATAAGAAATATAAATCATTATTTTTTTAATTGTTGATAATGATTTGCTCACTCACTTCATTAATAGTCTAATCAAGTTTACAAAAACATATGCACAATTAATTTCATTCCTACATGTAAGGACTGGTACATGTCATTTTAAAATGCATAAAAGTGTACAAGTTTCAGAAGTTTAGTAAATTAGACAAGCTTTTTGATTACTAAAATATAACCATTACAATTATTTTCAGAAGAAAATGAACAGAAAAAAACAAACAAAAATAATAATGCAGTTTAATGGGACCCTACTACTTAATCTAATGTTTTTGTATAATGTTTTGTATTTAAAATAATAATAATAATAATAATAATAATAATAACAATAAAACTAATAATAAATAAATTAAATTAATAAAAAAAATAGAATAATATATATTTAATTTCATCAAGAAAGAAAAAAAATACAGTTTAGGCAGCAGGTTATAATTTTCATACATACATTACATGAATAATGTTATGTACGATTTAACCCAGACAGAAGAACAGACAGGCCACAGACAGCCACCTCTTTAGTTGCCCTGCCACTCCTGTTGAAGGCTTAGCACATCTTGAGCTAAATCCTTTTAGATAAATCTGGAAGGTTGGATAGGTCTCCCTGCTCACTAGTGCAGTGTGTTTTCAGGTTGGCTCTAAGGTAAATAAACACAGTCTGGCTCATGAATGTACACTAATCTGTACTGTTGTCTCTTCATTTTGTAATATATTTGCTTCTAATTGTTAAAAAACTCACTAGTTTTCTAGTGAGACTAGTGAGACACTAGCTATGTGTCTAGCTAAAGTGAAGTGAAAGAGCCCAAAACACGGGACCTGAGATAAACCAATGAATAAATACCAGCTTAACCTTTTAAAGAACAACCTGAATGGCAGCCCTGGCATTCATGAGACAGTTTCCAACAAACAGACTGATCAACAAGGCGTGTTTGTAAACAGGTTTACACAATAGCCACCAGGCAAAAGGTTCTTCCGAGAAGTCCTCGTTTGGCTTCTAAAAGGCCAATTAACTGAAGGATTAAATGTAAATGACATCTTCAATGGAAAGTGTTCCAAGTGATCAAACAACAAACCCAAAACATGACTCATCACGGCAGCAAGTGAAGTGCAGAAAAAAACTTGTCGACTGGATAACTACTAACACTAATGGGAGTTTAGAAGGCCATTAAACATCATCCATATTCTCATTCTTAATTAAAATAATTTATTCTGAAATTTAAAAGATCAGGAATTAATATTAATAATGGAATAAACGTTTTAGAGATTTTAAAAAAGTATTCTGGAATTAATCATCAAAACTGAAAACTACGACTGTTGATTTTTCATCTGACAGAAGAAAATCATATAGAGCGAGTATGGCTTGAGGGTCAATAAATTATGGGGGTAATTTTAAATTTTAGGTAAACTACTGCTTTAATTTAGGTTAATTTACAAGCTAGATCTAACAGCTAAAAGTGAAAAACTCGAAGTTTAACAATTAGAAGCAAAAGTACTTTTTTTGTTTTTGAATGGGCTTGCTACCACAGAGGAACTTAGCGGGGACCAGCACTGATAGCATTTTATAAAATAGAGAGTGTGTGAGAGTCTTAACAGGACCTAGTCTATTATACATGTTGATAAGGAGCTCAACTCAGCCACAGTGAACAATCTGGAACTCTCTTGCTCTAGAATCCTCCATCGATTGTTTACCCAGCAAACTGTTCTTAACCTGAACTCAACGGGTATTAGTAAACATCTTAAGTGTTCCGACACTTTGAGCCAATTATTTATTTAAAACAAACCAGGTCTTCAAACCCTCTGAATTATTAGAAGTGAAAGTGCCCCTGGTGCTGTTTATCCAAAAATGTAAATTGCCATTAATTACTTACCCTCATGTCATTCCAATCCCCTAAAAATAGTTCATCTTTGGAAAAAAAAATATTTTAGATGAAATCCAAGAGTCTATCATCCTCCGCAAACAGCAATGGCCCAATACCATACAAAATCCAAAGTCCGGAAAAAGAACCAAAAACAGTCAAAACCTTTCATGTAACAAAGTTGATTTTACAGGGTTTTTTTCCTCACAAGTTTTCTTGGAGCTTTGTATTATTACAGTTGATACACTAAAGCTGAGTCACATGGACGTTTCTGACAATGTTTTTGTTTCCTTTTCTGAATCTTGAGGGTGTACTCACACTAGGCTATCTGAACCATGCCCAGGCATGTTTGACCCTCATTTCCCGGTTTATTTGACAAGTGTGAGTGCTCTGAGGGCGAAACTAAAGATGCAGCGACACCTTTAGCAAACCTCATAACACGTGCAGCATGATGACTTTCATGAACATTTATGAGCAAAATATGTGACTGTGTGTCACTGCATAAACTACTTAAACTAAAGCAATCTCCATTGTACGGAGCGAGGGCGCTTCTCTGCTGTTAAACTGAACAGTTGCATCATCGATGACGCAAGCGTGCTCGGGCTCAGTGTAAAATAGTGTGATTGCAGGCCGAGGGGACAATAGCGCCCTAGTGACTAGTCTGAAGGCTGATTTATACTTCTGCGTCAAACGCACGCGTATTCTACGGCGCAGCCTACGCGTTGACACATAGCCCTACGCCTTGGCAATCAGTTTACAATTGTAAACAGCGATTGTTTACAAGTGTGAAGTCCCGTGAAGGAGCTCCGGATGGAAAGTTTTGTTTTTTGTTTACCTCATAGTTAAAGTTGTTACACGTCCGCCGGTTCCTGCCTCAAAATGAGCGAGTTTGAGCTACTTGTACATCCCGGAAGCGTTCAGAAAGAACAAAACACAGGCGAAAAAACCTGACACAGAGACACATTAACACCTCACTGCCAACAAGCGTTTTGGAAGTGTTAATGCAGAACAACAGAGAAAGTGCGCAGATTATAAGTGCACAGCTACACACGTTGCATGCGCCATTGATTACACCGGTCACTTGATGCAGAAGTATAAACCAGGCTTGAGAATGTCTCTGGACCCTTGCTGTCTATGGAGGATAAGGAAGCTCTCAGATTTCATCTAAAATATCTTAATTTGGATCCTGAAGAAGAAAGCTCTCAAGAGATTGGAACAACAGGAGGGGGATAAATTAATAAATATACATTTTTGGGTGAACTAATAATCTAAGATGCACTTTTACCAATCTAATCGTAAATAGGACAAGCTAAATCCAGGTGTAAATGGGGTCAAATTCATTTGAGCTTGTGTACTTTCAAGTGCTTCCAGTGGTAGCTAAAAATACATTCAAGTGGACAGTTTTTGTAGTGTTGACACTCATGTGACGCAATGTTGAAATAGCAACTAAAAACAATCTCCTTTCTTTACAGACTTTATTCTTAAACAACCATCTAAAATTGTAAGTTTGGTTTAAAAGTGAAAAAAAAAAAATACTGAAAAGCAAAATTCTACCTGTCCTTATACTACAACAAATCCACACAGTCTGAAGTAGTTTTGGAGTAATCAAGAATTGCACAAGCTTATAAGCAATATCAGATAGAAAGATCACGAAAAAACAAACCACCCACAGTCCCTCTAAGTGGTGGAAATTGCATAAAATTATACTTTTAAAAATATAAAAGTATATAGTACAATATAAAAGTATATAGTAAATATAGTATATAAAAAATATACTTGCGGTAGTGGCTGGATTGAAACATCTTAAATAGCACAACTATATGCGACAAACAAAATATAATTAGATTTTTACCACTATTTTTATTATATGCGTTTCATTTCATCTTTTCAATGGGTTAAAGTAAAAAAAATAAAATAAACTGTTGAAATAAACTTTAAAAACCCACTCTTTTTTATGCTAGTCAGGAGCCATGTGCACCCTGTGACAGATAAAATCTGCTTCTCTGTATCTTTCTTCTTTCATTCAAGTTCAGGCTGCTTTATTGGCATGAAATTTTGTATAGTACCACCAAAGCATTTTAGATGTATAAAATATGTAATGTATTGACATCAAATTAATAAAATATACAGCAAATTAGAAATAAATGACAGAAAAAAGGAATAATAACAGACAACATCCCTAAAAATTGTAATAATTAAAAGAATAAAATGTTTAATTATTTAAATAAGACAAATGAGTTGATAACCATTTCTAATGGTGTACAAATATTCTCCAGCCAATTTAGATGTAATCTCGTCCTCTCCTAACATTTAAATAAAAAAAAGAATTAATTATTTAATGTCTCTCTCACGGCTGCACGCATAAATTAACGACGCTTAGAAAACGTTTACATTTACGAAAGCAAAACCAAAT